AAAAGGACTAATCATTGCTAGAAGATCAATATCTAGGTTGAAGAAGGATGACTACCAACATCCAAGAGAATTGGAAGTTTTTTTTCTCTAATTCATGTATTCAATTTTTTTAAATTTTTTTGTGTTTTTTTTTCTTGAAGATTTAAATGTAAATAAAATTTAGTCAAAATCAATAGTTTAATTAATATTTATGAAAATTTTGAAATCGCAATAGGAATTTGGTTAGGATTTGTTTAAAATATATTTAAGGTTTTTATTTTAGTATTTTATTAGGATTTTTATTTTTAATATTTCTTTATGATATTTTTTTTCTTTAGAATTTCTATTTTTAATATTTATTTAAGGTTTTTTATTATTTCTTTATAGCTTCTTTTTTAATATTTTTAAAATTTTTATTTATAATTTCTTTATAATTTCTTTAAAAATTCTTTATAATTTACTTATAATTATTTTTATAATTTCTTTAGTATTTCTTAAGAATTGATTGAGGTTTAATTAATATTATTAAATTTTAATTGGAATTTATTTAAGATTCTATTAGAATTTTTAAAACATTTGTTGTTGTAATTTCTAATTTACCTTCTATAGGTAAGTATTTGATACATTTTCAAGAAAAATAACACATTATATAATAACATATTTGAAAAGAGAATGTGAATATTCTTTCAAAGTATTATCTTTATAATTTCTTAATTAACTTTTAAAAAAGAATTCAACTATCATTAAGATCAATCTATAATTTATGAATAATTTAGAATTAATTTTATTTAAAGAATATATTAATAAAAAAAATAGATAAGAATTTCATTTTCTACTCACAATTTTTAATTAAAATATTATCTTATTTCTAAAGAAAAACAATGAATTATTACACGTAAGTATAGATTATCAAGAACTAATAACATTACTATTAAGAATTGATATCTTCTATCTTTGATGTCAAAATTATATTGTTGAAAGATAAAAAATATTATAAGATAACAAGTACTATTGATGAAACGATGACAAATATTCAAAGATGACAAGAAAATTTAACTAAAAGTTAAAAAATATCGGAAGAGGACTGGTGCCATTGGTTGATAGATGAAAAAAATAAAAAAAGCAATGTGTATTTATATTCATCTACAAATTTAGGCAATTGTCTTTGAGGCTTAGGACATTATATTACTATGTTATTTTTATATAATTTTTATCTGCTCTATCACTCTTGATCACTTGTATTGTATTTAGAAGTAGAAACAAGACTTCTTAATGAAGATATGAACAAGAGATTTAATGGATCTGAAAAGAAGCCAAAAATACTTGCTCTTATATATCAATAAGGTATGCATTGCCCATACACTTAAAGCCCCATGATCCAAGGAGGAAGGACTGGCAGTTATCATTAGAAAGGAATCAATTCAATAAGCTAGAAAAAAAAATTGAAGTCCTCAAAAATTTACCAGAATTTAAATCAAGATAACTATGACTACAATGATGCCACATCAAAGACTTGTACTTGAAAGCTTTGAAAAAACTAAATTACTCAAAAACAAGATTATGGTACTTATTACCTATAATAAAGGACCTCAAAAATAAATTGCAAATATATATATATATATATATATATATATATCTAATAGAGGCCTAGAAGCACAAATATACAATGTTAAATCAAAACAATCAAAGAATGGTTCTTCAAGTCAAGATCAGTTTGTGGGAGAAGAAACCCATGAAGATGAAGGATATACTTTATAAATTATAGATGCATATTTAGCAAAGGTAAACAACTTAGATATACAAACTTAGTTGTTATCTTTGTACTTATATTATACAGCAACAAATCATGTTACAAGAAAATTTTCTATATTACCTTCAAATGTATTTAATTAAAAAATTAAGATTATTTCAGTAGGAGATTGAAGGCATGATATAACTAAGAGTGGCAATATCACAATCTACTAGCTAAGTAAAGAAATACAAAAAACCTCACATTTTATACTCTCCAAGGACCTTGAAGAATATCATCTGAGTTGAATTTTTAGCAAACAAAGAAATTTCATTAGGTTTTGACAATGACAAATACATTTTCAAAAACAAAGAAAGAATTATATTGATTATTTTGTAAAGAGACACTTTCAATGGCCTTTTTAAATTGGTAGAAAATACAATAAATGAGTACTTAGATGTCAAGTATAATCTAGCAATCTACACAATCAATTGTAGAATTCAAAGAAAAATTCTATTGTTGTTCTTTGGCTTTAATGGCTTGGCTATTTTTATTTTCAAGAACTACAGAAAATGATAAGCTTAAGAATTATAAAAAGATTGCCAAAAATTCTCATCAGAAACCTTAATTGTTCTATATGCCTTATAAAAAATAAGAAAAAATCAAAAAAATCAAAAATCAAAAAAGAACATGTAAGGTAAGAACATTGGAAACATCTAAAATCCTTTAGCTAATTTATTCCAATGTGGTGAAAACCATTCTACCTTAGATCTTTGGAAGGAGCATTATATTTTGTTATATTTCTTGTTAATTTAAAAAAAAAAAAAAAAAAAAAAAAAAAAAACACACACACACACACATGGTTGTATTTACATTTAAAAACATTCAAGTCTTCTCTAAGTTTTGAGCTTTATACAAAGAAAAAGACAAGATCATAGGTAAGAAGATATATACCTTAAGAATAAACATTGGTGGAAAGTATGCTTTGAGAGAATTCAACTCATATCATGTAGAGAAAAGACAATTGTCTTAGCCATGTATTCTACATTACAACAAAATTGTAGAGCAAATACATTTTACTTTGTTAGATATTTTTTGTTATTTTCTCATAGAAAATAATCTTTTGAACCAAAAGTAGTTTTTGTTGTGTGTTACATAGTCAATTTATATACTTTTAAATTATTTTTTAATAAAACTCTGAAATAACTTTTTACAAAGAAAAAATAGGATATATCAAAATTTTGTATTTTTTAACAATAATATATATTTATTATTCTATTCCATAAAAGTGTAAATTAGAGTCCAGAGGCTTACCATATATTCACCTTGGTCTTGAAAAACATCTTAAAAGATACATGTGCTATAATTCAACTCAAAAATAAATTATCCTTTCTAAAAATGTATATTTTTTAGAAAACACTTTATTTATCATTTTCTAAATCTCATCAAATAAATCCATTAGAATAGCTAAATTGGCTATGCTCATCCAAGTATTTAACATAACCACTAGTTTGAACCTTTAGACAAACTATCATTACTATCAATGTTGCTTTCATAGGATTTCTCTTAAGTCTTATAACTACTACCTTCTCTTTTTAGTAGCTTTAAATATAGAAGTTAGTTAAAGTTTTATAAAATCATGTAATATTTTTTTTAAGACAAAAAACTTCTTGTTATTGATCTTATAAAATTCTCCAACCATCACATATATAATTATAATCTTTTGTTTCTATAGATTTTATTATAGATCTTTCAATCTCAAGCTCTTATAATTCTTATAAGTAGCCTTTTTTGACAATATCTATTATTATCATGGACTACTAATAGGTATTATATTAAATAGAGGAACTCAATTTGTATCTATATTTTAAAGGATTCTTTTTAAAATATTAAAAATAGACATAAAATTACCTTTAAACTTCCATCCTCAAACTAATGAACAAACAAAGCACATGAATCAAGTCTTGGAGTAGTATTTATAATATATTATCAATTACCATAAAAAAATTAGATAAACCTTTTGCTATTATTAAAGTTATCCTATTATAACACATTTGTCTCTTTTACTATTAATTTGGGCTTATTTTATCCTTTTTATAATTGATTCTTTAAAAATTGACTTCTAATATTAATTAAAATAAATTCTAATTCATTTTTAGATCCATTATATTTATTCAAAATCAAGATAATTAAATTTTAATCAATAGAAATCATGTCATTTACTAATTTTTATGTTGAATTATAAATCTCCTAGTAGATGATATTCAAATTCAAACAAAAGTAAGAAAAGAATGGAATGCGGATGAGTAGCAAATCCCTGCTTGATACTTTTCATAGATATATGTTTGATTAAACAATTCATCTATGAATCATCCAAAAAGTAATGATTCAATGAATAGTTTATCTACATGACATTCAATGAATAAAGAAGCCCCTCTTCAACTCTTTCACTACATATTACAAAAATCTCTATATTCAATTAATTAGTTCAAGAATTGCAATTGTCAAATCTTCAAATTGAATCTTGGACATTATAAGATCTATCAAGAACATGGAAGAGTGTTTGGGAGAAGCGAGGAGGATGAGAGGAGATATGGAGGCAAGCTCAAAAGCTTGAGAGAATTTGGCAATGCAAGCAAGGGAGTGCAATGCAAACTAAGATTTATTTTAGTTGTAGTTTTTACAACCATGCTTTTATGGTTATTGTATTTTTTTTAATTATAAAACCACTTAGATACAAGATACTTGCAAAAAATATTTTATGATTTGTATTTAATTTAAAATAAAATTAACCTATACAATCTCTTACACCAAATTAATATTCTAATGAGAAACTTAATTTCATTGATTTTTCTAGTTTTTATATTAAAATATGATTTTAAAATCTTACAATCTTTTTATTAGAGTATGTGTAAATTAAAAATTTGTTATAAGAATGAAACAAACTAAAATGTAGCCAATCTATATTTTATTTCTTTTACAAAGAAAATAATCAACCATGAATCCTTGTTTATAAAACATCTGTGTTTGAAAAAAAAAATTAATGAGTAGATTTTTTTGAGTTGATTTTTTTTTTTTTTTTTTTGTAGAAATGTAGAATAAAGCTTGAAGATTTAGTGAGCGATCCCCCGTTGAGGTTCTCCGGAAATGACCCAGTAACCCACTTTCGGAGTGTAGAAGCAGATGGAGTAAACATCGACCAAGTACGTCGCGGTTGCGCTAGTTAATTGAGGCTCCTTCTTTCAAATGTAGACCCACTGTGCAGTGCTTTGAAGCTCAATGGCGAGACCAAAGCGTCGTAGAGCTGCATCTCCTTCTCCGGAAGAAGCTGCAGCAGTAACAGCACCGTCGAAGAGCCGAAGCAACAGAAAGGAGGCGCTCATGAAGAGTGTGGTTCAACAGCCAAGTAAAAGGAACCAGAAGGATGGACAAGAGCAGGGTGAGGGAGTGCCATCTGGCAGCGCAGCGGAGCTGAAGAGTAACCCACATAAATTAGCTGCCCCTCTTCACCATGTTCGCGCACGGTGCAGGAGCCAATTCCTCTCACGAATGGATGGTCAGGTGCACGTGGTCTGTGATCGCCATGCTCGTCTTGATGCGTTTCCATGCCTATGATCAGACAACGCGCTTGCCGATCACGAATAGTGGCCTTCGTAAATGTCTCTTGGAATTAGAGGAGCAGTAGCACCCTTTTCTTGGACGCAAGCTTTCACCCGGAGTATCTGAGTTATGACATTTCAAGCAGTCATTCCTGTTGCTCCATTTTTGGTGTTCTACCTCTGCCAACAAATTTGCAACAGAGAAAACGATGTAGTTAACACATTATCTAGTTTAAGCACTGAGCACATAAGCGACGTTTGATAAGAGGCAGAATAGAACGCGACTTGTTCTATTTCGGGTTTAGGGTTTAAGCTAAACTTTGATGAAATCAGTGGTGCATCTATGGAAGATGGAAGAGGCAGCTAACGCGGTTGAGGTCGACACCTTCGACTACCCGTGTAAGATGCTTATTTGACAACCATTTCGTTTTAAGTAAACTCTCCTCTGCGTGTTTGGAGACTATACGATTTGTTAGTCGTATATGTATTCATTAATCTTCATGCAACACGACCAGACTTCTTTATCTGCCTCCACCTATTGTTTGGTCCGATTACCGTTCTTTCAATTGCTCGAAAAGACTTTCTTACTGCCATTGACAAATGTGTGAGAGAAAACAAACCTTTCATCTCAAGCTTTACTCAGAATCTGAAATGCAAGTTGATTTGGGAATATTGTATCCACAATAGGATGATTTTAATTATTTTGACATAACCCAGCGTTGTCTGGATTCATTTTACAGATTGTGCAAATGGTAAGAAAGGGGCTCCTCCCAAGGCCGAGAAGCTAGTGGAGAGTCACAGGGAAGAAATCAGCAGGGCAGTCTCACAGCATCCTTGCCACCCGTTGGTTCTCGTTGGGAAATCAATGGGTTCAAGGTACTTTCACGCGGTGCCATTATACTGTGCGTTTAACTTGGGAATGTCATGCACATGACTGTAATTGCTGTCTCAGAGGGTGGTTTGTGCTTCGATCGAGTATGCTTTGGTCTTCGAATGAGGCAACTTCGGATCCCCTAGTTTAGCAACGGAATTAGTCGGACATTCCTGGTCCCGCGATGTCTGCTAACCTTCAACGTCATGATGGACAGAGTGAGTTGCATGGTAGCAGGAACGGAGGGCACCGACGTGGCTGCGGTGGTGTGTCCAGGCTATCCCCTCAGGGCAATTATCTGCAACACTTCACTTAAAAGCATGGCTATTACATTGTGCTGTATCAGAAGACAACTGAGGCTATGTATGATTATCATTATCAACTTCCATCTTCTTGGTTGCTGTTGAGTGAACCCAGCGCTTTCTTTTCCAAGGTTGGATCTGACATTGCATTGATAGTGGTGTGACTGGGGAATTTCTCTAATTTCTTTGCTTTGCAAAGCATGGCTGATCGTATCATTGAAATGTGTGAAGCACTACATACCAATCTTGAGAAGGTTGGATTTCACCACAGCTAGAAGTATATCAATAAGCAAGTGAGATTATTTAGTGTGGAATTATGTCGAACTTCCTTACTTGTGCTTGAATTCTATATGTGCAACAATTGTGGTATATTGTAGAGGTCTTATGGCCTATTAAACTCCTTGTGACTTACTTTTTTTTTACGTCATTAATGCCAATAAGATGATCTTTATATGTAATGAAGATTTTGCACCGCAGGTTAGTGAGAATAGCTTCAGCAGTTTTAAGCTTGAGGAAGTAGATTGTTTCATAAAAGTTTTTAATATCTACCTCACATACAATGGCCGCATCAGGTACTTAAGCAATTTCAACACTAAAGAACTGTATATGAATTTGACATATTAATGTATTAAAATAATCTAATAATTGAGTGCAAAGTGAGTTGGTTACTTTAGAAGAAGAATTATGCTCTATCAATTTATCACCTTCACATACAAAAACTTGTTATTTACTTATATATATATATATATATATATAAATAAGCAATTATTCTTAACTATAGCTTTAGCTATTATTTTGATTTGGTGTGAATGGCATTTTGGTATAGTATAGCCAATATCACAACTTTAAATGTAGAATATCTTGCCAATGCTATCTACAAGGTTTTCAAAAGTAAGAGGTGAAGAAAGCTTGAGATTTTTCCAAACACATTGATTAGTTACAAAATGAGGTTTGAGTATCATTCCTTCTTGCAAATGTGTACACAAGTATTTTGTTCTCAATCTAGTAAAATAAAAATTGACAAGTAGCATTGATAACCATTTTTGGAATTGATTAGATAAAAGTGACAAGTGTAAGCCTGCTTGGAGTCTAGTCCTATATAGGCTTCACCTTCTATTTAATTCTTTGACTACAAAAGAAGAGTGGATCTAATATACATTATTTTTTTTTTGAATTGAATGACTAGAGATACTAGTCTTCTATTTTTAGTATTGAGTTTTATCAATAAGATACTATTTTTTGGTAAATCACCAATTACTTTGATTTTATATGTTTTTAAGAATAATTATATATTTTTGTAAGTAAATTACCTTATATAATATAATACTTAATAAATATTATGGATATACATAATTACTTAGATAAATATTAGGTTAAAATAATTAAAGGTAGATTTGATAATGTAATGTAGCAAAGCTTCTTAAAAAACTTCATATACACACATTTGAATTTAGACATATTTATAGTTGATTAGTAGATTAGAAACTTTTCCAACAAATTAGCCACATGTCGTATATGTTATCTTAACAAAAGTAAGAATAGATTTGCAACTATTTCAAATTTTTACAAGCTTCTCAATATTCTTAGAGTAGAAATCTTATGTATTTTTAACATCAACTATAGGTCTATTATTCATATGTCTATGGAAGAAGTCAACAATAAAGTTTTAAATCTATATCAAAAAGTTGTGCAATTTAGAAAAGTAAGTAGATCAAGTTCATGACTAAATCTCAGAAGTCTTATTACTACAAGTATAAAAAAGATAAAAATAAGTATATTAGGGAATTTTGGTAGAATAAAATCAAAGTTTTGTGACACTAAACCTAATAAAAATCTTATTCTCTCTTCAAATTCCTTATCTTACTTTATAATAGAAATTTGTCTTAGACCAAAAAATCACAAAGCCTTTGTCTTATTAGATTCAAGAACCTCAGCTTGTTTTATAGACAAAGAATTCATTAAAAAATAAGAAATATCTTTATTCAAAAAACCTAAAATTGTACATGTAAAAGTTATAGATGGCTATTTGATGTATTTTAGAGATGTTATCTATAAAATAAATCCCTTAAATATAAAAACTATAGATTATAATAATTTAGTAATATTTAATGTAATTACATCTTCTTCCAACCTAATTATTTTAAAATTATTGTAGTTAAAAAGTATAATTCTTCAATAAACTAGATTTTTTATAACCTTGATTTTTTTTATAATTTAATTTAGAATTTAATTAACCAAGTAAAAATTCAAAAATCAATACAATCATATCAATAACGATTGTTGCAAAAGAATAATCATCTTTTGTTATATATGTCGCACCTATTTTTAATGGTGGAAAGACTTCAAGTGGCATTCTAAGGTAAAATCAAGATTATCAAGGCATTTTTAAGAAGAAGAATGCAAATATTTTTCAAAAGCATTGCTCTTATGATTATTCAATTAACCTTCAAAAAAGAATTCAATCGCTATTTGGACCAATTTATAATTTATTGCAAAACAATTTGGATGCATTCAAGAAATACATTGACAAAAAATTAGCTCAGAATATCATATGTCATTCAAAATCTCCAAAAAAAGCTCATATCTTATTTTTAAAGAAAAAAGATGGAACTCTATGGATGTATATAGACTATTAAGGACTTAATAAGATCACCATTAAAAATAGATATCTTTTGCCTTTGATTTTAGAACTTTGTAATGAATTCAATAAAACAAAGATGTATGTAAAAATAAATCTATAAAAAATATATAATATAGTCTATATCAAATAAAAATGAATAGAAGTTTATATTTTGAACCAAGTATAGATATTTCAAATATAATATCATATCTTTTGAATTTACAAATATATTAGTTATTTTTTAATATCTAATAAATAATATTTTATGAATTTTTTAATTATTTTTTATTTTTTATTTATACAATATTTTGATTTACTCTAAAAATAAAAAAGAATATAAATTTTATGTTTATCATGTATTATAAAAACTTAAAAATATAAGATTATATATTAAGATAAAAAAGTATATATCTTATATAATTCATTTGATTTCTTAAAATACATCATTTTAAATGATGGCCTTATGATAGATCTTAAGTAGGTTAAGACTATCATGAATTAGAAGATTTCAAGAATAATAAGAGATGTGCAATATTTTTTAGAATTTGCTAATTACTATCAAATCTTTATTAAAAAAATATTTCAAGTTGCAATTTCACTTACATATTTGATTTGTAAAGACAAATTTGAGTGGATTGAAGAAGCTAAAGCATAAATTAAAGTTTTAAAGATAATATTTAATTATGTACCAATCTTGTATTATATCAACTTCTTCAAGGTATTTTTTATGGAAATAAAAGCGTTGGACTTTGCTTAAGGTGTGATATTGTCATAAATTAGAGCAAATGAAAAACTCCACCTATTAGCTTTCTATTCCATTTTTTTTTTAATAATTAAGGTCAATTACAAGTTCTACAATAAAGAATTTTTTGCGATCATAGTTTTTATTTTTAAGAATAGCATCATTATTTAGAAGGCACTTTCAATCTACTCACTGTATATACAAATTACAAGAACTTCAAGTATTTTATTTCAATATATTTTTTGAATTATTACTAAACTCATTAGAACATATTTTTATTAAGATTTAATTTTAAGATTATTTATCAATCAAAAAAATAATAAGGTTTGTCTCATGCCTTTTTTAGATATTCTTATCTTATACTAAAAAAAAGAGATGAAACTTTTGATCAACTCAAACAATCATCTTGAAATCAAAGCAATTTCATCTTTAAGTAATGAAATCAATATTAACTATTAATTCAATCTTTTTCAAGCAAGTTCAATCAAGTATGTCCTTTCATCCTTTTATTTATGATATTAAGAATAATTCTTCTAAGTCTTATGATACTTTGAAGTTTGAATTCAAGAATAATCTACTCTATTTTAAGAATTGCTTATATATTCTAAAAGATAAAGTAGAATTATATGTTTTTCAAGTTTGTTATGATTTTCTAGGAATATGACATTTTAAATACAACAAGACTTTTGAGCTAATATCTAGAGATTTTTAGTAGTCTCAGATGTACAAAGTAGTTAGAGACTATATACAATCATGTGATATTTATTCAAGATTAAAAACTTCTTATTACTGATCTTATAGACTTTTTCATTCATTATCAATATTCAAACAACCATCATCATCTATTTCTATGGATTTTATTACAAATCTTTTAATTTCAAATTTATATCATTCTATATTTGTGATTGTAAATTATTTTACTAAAATAGCATGTTTTGTACCATGTACTAAATCTATCACAAGTAAAGTAACAACTAAACTTTTCTTTGATAATATTTGTTGTTATCATGAATTATTAAGGAATATTATATCAAATAAAAGGACATAATTTATATCAAGATTTTGGACAACATTTTTTAAGATATTGAAGATGCACATGAAACTGTCTTTGGATTTTCATCCTCAAATTGATAGACAAACATAATAAATAAATCAAATTTTGGAACAATATTTAAAGTGTACTATTAACTACCATCAAGATGATTGAACAATTATTTTACCATTAGCAGATTTTACTTATAATATGTGAGCAAAAATAAACCTCTACTAATTGGAAGTTTATTCTAATTCACAATAAGTGAATCAATTATGTGAATTTTAAAAGTTATAACAATTATTTAAATCCTAATCAAATCACTCTTTATTCTTCTTAAAGAATCTAAGCAATCAAACCAAAACTCTACAACTAATTCACATTCACAATAATAAACAGTTAACAATTTAATGGCATAAAAATTTCCTTCTTTTAGTTATTTTTCCTTATTTTTATCCTTTATTTTTTCTTTATTGTTATTTTTATTTTATCTCAACCTCGCCACCACCACAGGTTAAGTTTCTTTTTGCAAATTCTTTCAAAGAGAGAGAGGGCTGTTTAGGCTACAACAAGAAGTCAAAGTAACCACCTATCACAACACCACATGTTTCAGCACGTTCTTTAAATGCACAACTACTGCGCAATCCTATGCTACTAAACAAAATCACTGAATCCATATTCGAAGTCACACCACAATAAGCTTTGCGACGCACAAAAATTTCTCGGACGCCTAGATCAAGAAGATCTTCATCAGAGCACTGCTCTTGTAGGTCTTCGCCAGCAACACGAGCTTGCCACTAGCCTCGCTGCTCCCACTTCAGCAACACCGAGACAGTAGGGTACCCTGAGCTGAAAGAATAGCCTCAATATGACAACTCTGTACCGACCAGTCTCCAGAATTGATAAGTTGCTTCAACTCGGTTACTCTGAAAACTTGTTCAACACAGTGGCTGCATCTGCTCTCCGATTACACACAAGCTGAATCATAGTCGAGAACTTCAACTTCCAATGCCATCTTCTACAGCCTAGATTAGTATTCTCGTCCAAATTTTGACATTGACAACACAGCTTGCTGAAGCCTGGATCAATCGCAGTGCAGCACAGAGTCACAAGAAAAGAGTGTCAACTTGCACTCACCAGATTCGTTCCAACCTGAGCAAGGAGGAGCTCTACAACACAAGTAGAACAAACCTTCCCAAGGATAGACCGCCGGTTGGAATCGAAAAAATCAAGGAGTGTCGCTATAGTAAGAAGTCAGCTCACGCAAAAACCATTGTGACAAGATCACAACCCATTGTAGCAAAGCAAAACAACCTCTTTTATCCGCTTTAGTGTTAAAAAAGAAATGAGGATTGTAAAGTCTGACAATGTATGTAGCTTATCCAACTCTTACGCAGCTTACACGACTATAAGATCTTATTTTATGTTCCCTAACACACCACAAAAACGTATCAGATCTATGAGGATTAGCTTAGTGATGCACATGAGGACCAACGGTAGGAATAGTAATTCTTACAAGACCAGAAATGAGAGTACAACAGCTGCTCATATCTGAAGCCTAGAAACAAGTACAGGTACTATCTACTTCCAAGGCAGCTCGGACCCTTATCAACCAGGAGGCTGCAGCCATTTCTAGGTAGCCTCTCCCTCTCTTTATTACCTTCTCTTTTTTCTTTTCTTTTCTGACTCCTTTTTTTTCTTTTTTTTTTTTTTTTTTTTTTTTTACTTTAATCTTTTGGATTGACTTGGATCAAAAATCCTTCTTAGCTTCTAGTCTAATAAAAAATTCACTGTATTAAAACTACTATTAAATATCATAATTTATATTAGCTAGTTTAAGTAGAAAATGTTTGTTTTCAAATTTCTTGTCAAAAATTCTACCAAAGACTCTTCTTACAACAATCATTCTATTAATTTGTGATATATCTCAAAACTCATACATTAACTCACTAAAATACTAAAATAGTGATTTTAAGCACCATAAGTGCATTTTTTGTACTAAAACATATCAGTGAATCAATTCTATGACTCACATAATAATATGGTACATTTTTCTATTCAAACATCTTTTTTTTCCAATTATGATTATTATCTACGACTTGATACTTTACAATTCTTAAAAATTAACAATCATGCAACAGAAGATTTGAAATGTAGCAAATTATTTATTAAAAGATTACTGTAGACTTTGACCATTTCATATTTATAAACAAATCAATTTAGTTGCTTATCAATTACATCTACTAGAATTTATAAAGATCCATTTTGTATTCAATGTGTCTCTTTTTGAGCCATATAAGACAATAGATATATCAAGATAAAGCCAAATGCCACCTCTTCTTATAGAAGTGAATAATAACCATGAATTTGAGGTTGAAGGTCTTAGATTTAAGGCAGCAGTCAAATAGGTTAGAATATCTTATTCATTGGTGCAGATATGATATTAGTAAACATACATAAGAACTAGCCAAGTATCTTACAAATGCAGCAAAAAAGATTGTTGCTTTTATTGTCGACATCCATCAAAACCAAGTTAAAGAATAACAATTTTTTGCTATTAAAGAAACAAAGTTGAGAAAAGATAACATTCTACCTTCTATCTTTATTTGTAGTTTTTGAGTATTATAGTGCTAAAGAGATGGAGAACCAACAATGAGCAAAATCAATTCAAGAGCTATTATTTGCTGAATTATTAAACAATACATTGCAACTGTCACAACCTTTAAATCAACATACTAGAAATAAAGATCTTCAAGAATGACATCTTCTTCTTCAAATAGATGGTAAAATACGTATCTAATTTGCAAGATAATTTTTTTATATGTGTACCATATGATTAACTTGTATCTCAAGTTATTAACATAGACATTAAATTGTAGAGTAAGAAATCATAAAACATGGTTCAAAATAATATGTTTAAAAAATAGAAGCTTTAAGTGAATATAGTGTAAATCAAATAATTACATTTAATTAAAATATGATTTTACAAAAAACATGTTTCTATACAACATTATCATAGAAAGTCTTTGGTGTAATTTTAATTCACACATTCCAAAATATATATATATACATATATATTTCCTATTGTAAAAATATTTTATAAAATCAATAAAATATAATTTTTCTTTTAGAAAACATTATTTGATAATATTATTAAAAAATTGGTTGTAATTACCTTTAATACACATCACAAGTCATAAAAAATGTTTGAAGTCTACACCATTAATATCTTATATCCTTTACAAAATTAGTATACTTATGGTACATGATGCACCACAACATCTAACCATTTCTTCAACCGTGTGCCACTAGCCAAATCCAAGAGACAGTTTCATGAAATAATAAAACTAATAGCACACATAGAACATTTCTAAAATTTCATTTACTAAGGTGGTATTGTATATCTAGATCGTCTCTATTCACGAAGCTTTCATAGAAGGAGAATCTACAGCACCTTGAGCCTTCTAACTCCCCTTAGTTGAAGCAACATAAGGCTCCAGACCAAGAACTTGCTGCTTCAACCAAGCAACTCCAGAGTATTGAATGGTTGAGACATGCAGGCTTAACCCATAACTTAAGATTTAGCATAGACTGGCTCTCGAGTTATTTATTGAAATAGATCAGGCTACACCTAATTTTGGAAAATTCAGGGACTGCTGAAAAACTCCCCTTTCCGAATATGGTTAGTGTCCACCTGTGGACGAATGTCCCTGCATCACTTTACTTCACAATACTTCATACAATGTATATGTAGACCCATCTACAAATGGATGGTGTTACTGACTAAGATTTTGTCACAACAGCCACGTGTAGGCTTGACCCAATCTTGGAAAACACGATAAAAGGCAGCTTGATTAGTTCTGAACAAAAGAGTTCATATAACTGCAAATAAGATTCATTAACGTCTGCAAGCATTCCGCGGAGACTCCCACTCATAAGATACATGAATCAAAACAATTGCTTGCTTTCACGACGCACCTCGAAACATGTAAAACAAGCTAACTACCAGGAACTTGGATGGCTCCTTTTTGCTTCAGTGAACAGCCTGTTCTCCCAAAACACACTAGATGCAAGGCTTGAGGTTGTCTAGTAATCTTCAGTAAAATCAATCTGATTGGACTATGGTAATTAGTAAAGTCGACCACGGCATTTTGGGGCCCCGCAATAACAGGGGCAGCCCTTTCCAGGAAGCAATTTATACCTATAGTCATATGCAAGCTCCTCCCCAATTGCAATCTAAGCACAAACACAACACCAAGATTCAGAACAGAGACGTTGAGAGGTGATGCGAGAAAAGTTAGAAGAGATCAGACCCTGGCAAAGTCAAACAAACAAAAGCAGATCCATCATTGAGTTGCAAAATCGGCCGTTAGCCAATTTTGCATGATTTTGTACAAATACAACTATCAGCCCGCTCTTATCGTAATGCGCGTGAGAAAATGAAAGTACTTACATCGCGATTGGCGAAAAAACCTATGTGTGCTAACTGACAGTCCATACTTTCAACAAGCACTTCGTAGTTGATCAAATTCGGTTCACAGCTGCATTTAACAAACCACATTTAGAAGACTCATTTACATCTAAACAGAATTTTTCTGACACCTGTTATGAATGCAAATCTTTAACTCCCTTCATGAAACAAAAAGTCTACATTGTTCAGCAACATTCTTAGAGGAAAATTGAAGTCCATCAAAGACTTGAATGAAGATTGATAGCATGAGGTAATGGGCGACAATCACCACGACTATGCAGTTTCTAAAACTAGATAATCGTTCATCGTTAGATAACCGAGTCATTGAAAGGTACACGAAGAACCTCAAAAAGCCACAGGAACTCACCTATGATTAATAAATCGAGCAACATTTCCATATTTGGTTGCATCTATTACAAAAGGTTTTGAAACAGATTTTGAACCAATCACATCTAGATGTGCATCAATGTTGTATAAATAACTGCAGCCCACTTGATCATATCTGGAGCATACAAATGTATCAGTATATTCATGAGGTTCTCTTTGTACAAACCACGACAAGCACCATCATTAACAAGCAGTAGATATCCATGCAGCATACAAATAAGATGTCCAGAAGTTTTGAGTCCTGAAGCAGAAAGAGGAAAACCCACATGATATCGAACAAAAGCTTGCATAATGCAAGAGTACAGAAAGAAATCGCATAAAAAACACGACGACGGTAATAAAATATAATGAGTCTTTGAGAGGGTAATGGAAACACTAGGTTCAACAGAAGCTGCAAAGAATCACCTCTTCCCTCTTTCATTTGCTTCCTTGTCATTAAGAACCTCCCCTATATACTCACACACAAATGTACCCCTTGATATGGGCTCCGCTGCTCGCACACCCCATCCCTGCACCAGGCAAACCCGTGAAGATAACGCAAAACTTTAACCTTCTGTATATTGCTTCAGTATATTTTCCGATTTGTAAAATCAAAGATGGTTATTAGTGACGAGTGAAAGAAAGTGAAGCGCATTACCTTGTGTCGGCTTTTGAAAACTTCAAGTTTCAAACGAACACCCTTCTGTAGCACGCGATTGCGGCAAGAATCTTTACACTGACAACTAGAATTGCATTCATAAACCATGTATCCAACCTGCCAAACGCATACTCATCGTCGTCAACGAAGGAAATGCACATTCAGCCTACACTATATGGCTGCAACTAGATGACAGGAATATTGCGATTCAAAGAACTGATGTTAGTATCTATAATATCACCCCAAGATAGTTTTAAACATGATATCAAATAACTGTCGCATCAAAAGTGAAAAATCAACAGAATTGAAGCTCACATCAAGAATGATACGGCCAATTTCATCATAAGGAAATTGGCCTCGAGCGGACTTTCCATCAATTGTGCGGGCTTCAGCGTTGTCAGTGTCAAACATCGACACATGATCACAAGTGGACGCCGAGCATTCATCTCCAGTGCATGAACATCCTACTTGAGAGCTCTGCCCAGCCAATCCCGAATCGAGACATCAGAAAACGTGAACAAAATCTTGAAAACGCTACAGACCTTGTAAGAGACAAACACTGAAACCCAGACAATGACGCTGCACAAGGTATCCAGACACAAACCTTCGTATCTAGACCCAATGAAGGGTCAAGGTGCCGTTGAGTTATATATACAAAGTTATTCCAGGGTTGACTGTCCCCTGAAGATGTTAGGCTTCCACCCTCCGTACACAACGAACACGTGCAAGGCTCTATCACACTTCCATCTACGACACAACGAATAGGTACTTTCTCCAATCCATTGCTCAAGTCTTCAGATAGAACCATTTTGTTTGAGATAGAATTCTTGTTTGAAGGCAATAGATCTAGTCCACCCACTGTATGAGCCTTTGCATCACCTACACGAACAACACAATGTATTTAGCCGTTACGCTTACAACGTCTCCTTAATCCATACTTCATCAAGTTTCTTAGTATGTCATGTATGCACGACATAACGTTACACGCGTAATACCTAAAGCTTCCCGACAATGAAAAGACATTTATCACCAAAAAAAAAAAAAAAAAAATCACAACGATCATATGTACTGGTTCAGATAACTGCGCTAGGTTGTGAGTCGTAGAGCGAACTCCACAAATAGAACACACAGCGCCAAAAATAATATATTAGATCACAAAGAAAAACCAATTGAGAAACGAAAGAGCACATTACCTGCACAATCATTTGAGGGTGATTTTGCAAACGCACTCACATTCATTCCCAAACTAGGCATTGATTGTGGTGGAATATAAGACTTGCAGCCGTCCGGGCACAAGTATTTGTCTTGGTGCCAACTGATCTCTAATTTTGCTTCACTACAAATTTGCGCAGCCTGCACAAATAGTCTTGGCGGCAAATACGCATATCTTTTACCCAGCTCTTTAAAAAACCAATCTTTACAGCAGGTACTGCGAGCAACCTCCAGCAATTCTCTGCTGTTGGGAGCGCGATTCAGCAATTCACCTTGTAATGGACCAATTATTCCATCTTTGGTAAGGGTGTAAATCCCTGTCTGACACTCTCCACGCCCATTAATTATAAATGCTTGCTTAATAGCAGCATGATCAGCTTGATGATGCCGAGCTAAGTCTGGCAACAAAGCAAACTCCAATCCACAAAATCGGCACTTAATCGTGTTAGCGACAGTGGTAGCAGCCTGGGCTGGGACAGGAGTCGGGTTCAGGGCTGGGTGTGGTATACTACTAATACCTGCAAGTTTTGCTAATCTTCGTGCTCTCTCTGCTTTCCTATCCCTCTTACGAGATGGTCTTTTCGTCTTCTGATCCTCCAAAACCTGCTTCACAGCTCTCATGCGTTGCAGAATTGCTTCTGCCCCACCTGATTGTTTTTTCATTGGAATTGATCTCCCTCTACCTGCATTTTTGGCTTTAGTTCTTGCACGATACCTCCGTTTATTGCTATTATCATCTTTATCGTCTCCTTCCCCTTTCCCTATTGAAACTCCACGCCAATCACCCCCCATTCCTTCTTGTTTTGTCTTCCTCGTTTGCACAGATAACACACCGCTGGAAGAAGACTGGTATCTAGATCGTTCATCCGCTTTATCTTTATGATCAGATTGATGATGGCGTCCCAGTTCCGGAAGAGATCGGAACCTTAATGAACAGTATCGACATTGGTATCTACGCTTTCCCTCAGCCAGAATAACGTCGATTCTCTTAGAATCATTTCCAGCCACCTCACCATCAATTGCATCGAAATTCCTTTTTGCACCAGAGTGCAAAAGCTCCTGATCTTCATGCAAAATTTCTTTGTGCTGTTGAACTTCCCATACTGTACTAAAAGTTTCGCTGCAAAAAATACATTTATGCCCCTTGCGTAACATCAGTGAGGCCTTCACTCGTCCTGCAAAGTTGGCGCAGCTCCACTGGTTATGGTGCTGATCCTCCACATGCTGCCATAGGCGATCAAAATCTAAATACTGTTTGTCACACATCACGCACACTGACCAAGCCGGCGATGAATGGGAAACAGTTGGATGAGCTTCTCTCCAGTGTTTTAGTACACCTAGTCTATCTCTGAACATTGCACCACCCTTATCACAAATACGACAGAGCAGGCATTTTTCGAACAGCCTTGCCTCCCGTTTGTGATGCTCCTTCCAATGCTTCCCGAGCACAGACAACTGTTCAAAGTTTTGATCACACAAAGAACAAAGATAGCTTGTATGCTGGCCAACTTCTTTGCCTCCAACCTGGGTGGAAATATACAAATAATATCAGAATAAACGAAGACGAACGCTTCTGGAGAAGTCTAGTAATAGAATGTAGATGAACACGACAAAAAATGAAATAACACCAATCACGTGATTCTGCAGGGAGCTCCACGAGACATAATATAGCCAACCTGTGAAGGAAACGATGTTGGCCGCCGAGACTTGGCATCATTTGACATCATATCCACCGCTGGCTTCAATGATTCTTCAGGATAAGAACCAGACATGATAGCATCTGACTCCCACATAATATTTGGACCCTTACTGCTGGCTAAGCCATTTTCCAACACTATCTTCGCTAGTCTCTCTTTCTCTGATGTGAGTATCTTTAGCAACACCTCTCCAGAAGAAAAATCTTTGGCACAGTCATCAATAACAGAGTTCATCATCTGACTAAACTTCGCTTCGTCGATTCCTTCTGAAAACACACCAAAACATGAGTCGCTGTCACAAAAAAATAGCCAAGTTTAACGTATTGCCAAAATCTCGGAGCTTCATGAACAATATGAATAAAGTTAACATACAAGTGGTGCAGTCATCACCTAGGAGGCAATCATCAATCAGAGTATAGGAAGCGGCAACAAACTATCAGGAATCAAAGTTGAGAAAGTTTATCCCAAAGAATTAATTACTTTGCAGAACACAACGCTTCAGAACAAGGATTTGCTTCATGGATGCAGATGCTGACCTTTACTCAGAGACAATCCTTCATTCATGTACTTGCAAAGCAGATCTCGTGCTTTAAGATAGCTTCTCCTTTCCTTCACATTCATATTAGCCAAAAGTCTGCTTAAGATCTTGTCGCTGATAGGACCTACGGAAGTCCCATTAGTTTTGAAACCTGCAATGGCATTTGAAGCTACACCTCTTATATGTTTTTCAGTCAGTCGGCCAGATGATGGAAGCTTAAGTTGCTCTATCTTCGCCACCGCACCAACATCTTCTACTGGAGCAGCCAAAGTGTTACCTTCCACATGATCTGAGTCCTTCTCAGCATGCTCTGGTTCCTTCTCAGCATGCTCTGATTCCTTCTCAACATGATCTGGGTCCTTCTCAACATGGTCTGGGTCCTTTTGATCGGTAGAGAAGCTTAGGTCATCCTTCGTCGAGTGCGTAAGTTGAGTATCCTGTACAGTAACACCAGTGCACCGCAAATGCTTTGCCATCACAACTTTATCATTCCCTCCCTTTAAACCGTCTTTTCTGTCATTTAACACTCCAGAATCCTCTGACTTAGGCGGGCGGCAATCAGCATGCATGACACAATAATAGCTTCCCTCGACAACAGAATTTGCACAACGCCGATTCTCTACCCAGTAGCGTGCCATGCATAAATTACTAGGCTCCACATTAGGTTCAGCAATCGAAGGGCTTTCCGCTAAGCCTTGATGCTTTAAACAATATATCCCTTTCACTGCCTGTCGAGGGCATCTTCTCTTCTTATTTTTGAGGTATGCTGAGCAACCCCAAGCATCTGATTTAAACTTCCATTTCCAAGTCTTTGACGAAGAGTTTAAAAAACCATCTTGGGGTAACTTAACACCACTTCCCTGGTCCATCGACTGCAATTCTGAGGCTACAACTTTGGTTTCAGAGGTGTGATCAACAGCATACTCTGGTTTTGTAGCATCCACAGAAAAAGATAGTGTTTGAGAATAATGAGCAACAGGCTCTGGTGCAGCTGGACAATATTCCTGTGCCCAGCACCACATTCTAATTATTCAGCGATTATACGTGTGTATAAGAAATTTATTAGTGCATCACATTGATAAACCTTGTAGGATATCAGGAATTTTACTAAGCCATTAATTAGATTTAAAGGTTTTAGATGCAAGTTCAAATGTTCTCTTGTTTGAAGCAACTACAACAAAACAAACGAATTACGAGTAATCAGATTTGAACCCCTATTCCATTCAGTAACCAGTAGATGATGCTTAACAAACTGCACTTAAGTGTATCAGGCACAAACCATTGCAGCAGGCGATGAGGGACCCGCATCGTTATCATTCTCAACTTTGACCTGCTTTCTTGTAGTCACGCCTCCTGTTGGAGCCAAGGGTTGAGGTTGCACACTTCTATCCTTAGGTTTCCGGCCACGCTTGGCTCCAGAATATTGCTTCTCTTTGCCTGCCTTTGGAGTTAAACTGGAAGAGGAAGAAGGCTGGGAGGGTTTGTCTGCTGGTATAGGAATGTCATCTTCCAAGTCTGTCAGTTCATCAAATGCCGGACCTTTCCAGTCGGTCCAACCTGGGTCAAGCACAGGTTGCTCAGGAGCTTCCCAAAGTTTTGCTGCCTTATCCCAGAGGATAACTCTTATACATTCCTGCCACATGCGAAGGATAACAGATTCAAAACAAGAACAAGGAACTTGTTGTGAAACTTATGTCTGAAACTCTATCAAGCTCGATATGTCCTTAATAAGTAATTGTGCACCGGACGAATGGCGATCGCCAAACAAGCCCTCGCTGATACTTTATTTAACAGAAAAGAAGTTTGATTTAGTAAAAAAATACCAGATAAAAGGTTAAGTGAAGGACATAATGAGTATTGACGGGACAGGTGAAATCCAGAAAAAAACCAACAGTCTTCACCTTTTGCGCTACATAATTTGTGAAATCCATGAGCTATAAACTTTCCAGGGACATCGCAACAATAACCGCAAGACTCAGTCAGTTTGATACGTAAGAAATAAAGACCGAAAGGTACGAACCTTTGTCAGTTTCTCGATAGTTGCAGCTGCTTCAGCTTTCAAGCATTCTTCTGTCCAAATGTTCAAGCGTTTCTGAACCCATGACTGCCGTACATAATCTGGTTCAACGACCTGCACGTAACTACAGGTCAATTATGCCGAAATGCATGCTCACAGGCTGATTCCATGATCCACTTGAAACTCACCGCCGTGCTCAAGTGAAACCTACTACTACACGAGAACAGATCCAACAGAGGGCATAAGAGGCGCTTACAGCATGTATACGAACTAAAAGGGACCCCAACTCTGAATACTTAGTTGCTTCACTTGCCTCCATGGCGAACACTTTCCAAACACTTACATATCGTGCTCTTTCGACCACCCCCTGTTTCACCAAATTTATTGTCAGAACCTGCAAGAGAGTCGCTTCCAAGAGGTATTGGCATATTGGTATACTTAGTAAAATACATGACGCGTAAATTGTATGTAAGGTATGTGTGGTGCGCTGAAGAAGCTCACATATATATGCAGTCGGTCACTAATATCAAGCATCTCCCACCCAAGACTCAGAAATATGCGCCGCCTTGGTGCCCCAGTGTCTACCACTCGATGACGCCAGTCATTGTGGTTTCCTGACAGGAGAGGCGTAGGGTTTTGGTTGATGTCACATATATTTTGTGCATCTATCCATATATATGTTCTGTTGGTGACCACGTAGATGGGAACGTATTTTTTTTTTCCATAAGTAGGCATGGCCTTCACCGTTGCTGCTCTGCAATCTTCCAACTCAACCTGGATGGCTGCCTGCCATTTGCCTCTCCACTGCAATAGACCAGTGTATATGTAAGTCTTATATATATATATATATATATATATATATATATGTGTGTGTGTGTGTGTGTGTGTGTGCGTGCGCAGAAGATAACTGAAAAACTCAGCAATCTGTTTTCATATCTAATAAGGTTGAACGACACAGAAAAAAGAGGTGATACACCAAACGATCTACTGCATGGAGTATTCACTCTAATTTGGTACTCTCAAGATACAATCAAGTACGCTTCAAAAGACTAACTTTAGGACGGAAAGTCGTATATTTCGACTGCCACTGAAATTATCGCAATGTCAACTCGAAATGCTTAAATACAGGTCGTACCTTAATCCATACAGCCTTCCCGGATCCCTGATGCTTTGAGCTGATATGATGCTTTATGGCTGATGCACCCTGCGGCATGGTACTTGCAGCAGCATCCAAGGCCGCCGTGGCTTTCGTATTAACAAGAGGAGCACCCAGACCAGGCTCCAAGGTCGTCAGGCGAGAAGTGCTCTCAAGAGGAGGGACTAGAACAGGAACTAGGGGCTTATGCGATACAGAATCCTTCTCAGGAGAAATAGGCGCTTGAGACCTCAGAGCAACGGCACTAGGGAAAACTTGTTTGGCATGCTCAACCGTCGAGTTGCCAAATGCATGCCCATTCTCTAAAGCATTAACCGAATTCATCAGAGAAGCTAGCTCTTTCTCCACTCCAACCCCGTTGCCCGTGTCAACCTCTTGTTTATTACGCATTCCATTAGAAACAGGAAAGTTCACACGACCCTGATCTGACTCCGGAAAAGCGCTACCTCCCTCTCGAGCCCCTCGTAAAAAGCCAAGTTGGTCATCAGCGACCGGTAATGCGAAATTCTCTACTAAATGCTCATCCAGATTGTGTTCAAAGGCCATCAACTCCTCCTGCTCTTCCACAGTGAAATTGGATTCGCCTCCCGCCTCGGGGAGGTCAAATAAGAGCTTGAGAAGAGACATGGTGACAGCCTCTCGGAATCCCAAGCTCACCAGTCCCCAATCTCACTTATGCCCTAACACTTCTCATGCCCACAATGCAGGTGCACACTCTGCACCTCAACGACCGCCCTCTCCACTAAAACCTCGCCTCAGAAAATCAAATACGCTGCTCCCGCCAACGCTCAAGCCTGTCCATCTCTCTCATCCTCCACACCCGCGCCTTCTCCGCCAACCCAGAAAAGGGGGAACAAAATTATTCAAACCGATCAATCCAACCACGACTCCCGCCCCCCGTTCACCACACCGACGAGACGATTGCTCGGCTACCCCATTTCCATCGCTGAATTTCAAAGCAGAAGAAAAACCTCGCGGCAATCAACTCACTACTCCAAAGCTTCCGCCCATCCATCGCAGATACCATGTCCCATACGGAAAAAGAATTGCACGCATTGATAGACACTCTCGGATAACACTCCTCCCCCTTGATTGTCTACCACATACCTGCGCCCCGCAACAATTGCAGGCGACGAGGAATGTCACCAAACCCTAGACGGCATTCGAAACTATCGTTGCGCAAGTGTTTGTATCAAAGCAAAGGAGTTTCGGACCTGATGACGGTAGTCCCAGATTGGCGCTCTGTGCGGAGCAGCTGCAGCCATTTTGAGTTTTCTCCTGCTGCTTGTACCAGGTATACTGGAGGTTCCGGGTATCATCCCAATCACCCTTGCATTACCGGTTATCAGTCGGATATCGTACCTCCGCCGCCCGTTCCTCTGTCGACCTCCACTTTCAATTGTTTTACGACCATAGATCCTTCTGTTTCTGAACGTTGGATCGGCGAATCGTATCTTTTGCTTGTAAGTTGGCAATGGGGCACTAATGTGTACTTACTAATTTGACAAAGGTAATATTAGCAAGTACACATCATTAAACTTAGGAAATATACTTAAATTTTTCGCAATATATTTCATCACTGATAAATAAAATAAAGTGAAACAAAATACATATTTTTATCAAACCATGTATATTAAAATATCTGCAGCAACAAGTTTAATTATTTGATATTCTAATACAGTATCCATATGTTATGTTGAATTTACTTATATTGATGCAGTTTCTTTTAGACATTAATTTGGAATATATAAGCTACGATCTATATTGAGGTTATGCAATTTTGGCTTAATTTCGAAATATATGTATCATTTTGAATTATGTTTTGACTCTCAGGAAAGATACATTGTTACATTGTTTAAGATAAAAGTTATATTATTTCAATTTATGCAGACACTGTTTATTATAAATGAATTTTTGAAAACTATTGTACAATTATAAAATCTGTAGTGCTGAAAATGCATCATAGAATCTGAAAAGCAATATGTGCATAAAATCATCCTTTAAGTAGAACTAAATAGATTTGAGACACCAAAATGACTTCGCACATGTGTAAAGGGTAAGAGAACAAACAGAATAGCTTCCCAAAAAAGGAAAAATAACGAAAGAATTATAGATGACTAGAGTGCTAATACAGCATATATATATATATATATATAAATATATAAATATATAATTTAATCCTATTTTATACTTTATTGAAACCAAAAAATCTATACAAAGTATTAACTATGTAATCAACTTGAAGCATTTGTGAGTTTTTAGTGAAATTTAACAAGTATTTCATAAAAATAACTTGGTTTTCTTTTAAAGCGTTGGTACTCATGATTGAATTACGGTAGATCATAGGCAAAAATACGAAGACGGATGTATGTATGTGTTCAATGGAATGAAAGGCAGCATTAAAACATAATAAAAATACTAATTTTAAAATTCTATTAATAAGAAATGCTTTAGTCTCCACGAAGCTTGCCAGATCGGACATTACCCTCCACGTAGGAAGCCAGCTCGACATCGGGCGTCCACGTCGACTGCTAACATGGCGAGCATCTCTCTCCCAGTTCGTGAAAGTCGAAGCTTTTGTGGTGTCCATTGTTGTGGAGCTCATCGCTTCTGCGTCTTCGTTTTAAATCCAAACCACGATTGATGCTCGTGGTCATGGGCTGTGGTTCTGATTTCTTGCGTGGTTGATTGTTTCATATGTTTGTGGAAGAGGTCTTCGAATTGTGAGCGACCGACCTGGGATGAGGAGATTCTTAGATCTTTTGTTGAAGGAGCTTCTCTTTTACGTTGCGTTAGCACATGTTTGGGAGTACAGAGAGGGTATTAAGATTTTGTTTAGTCGTTACAAGTTTTTTTAATCCCTAATTTCGTGTTCTTCGCGAGTTATGTCTGTAGTCTGACAGGAATGACGAAGTCGTGAAGGTGGCTCATCCCGATCTTTGTATTTTTTTACGGTTTTTCATATAAGCTCAGTTAGCCAGGGGTCATGGATCCCTTGGGTGAGTTGAAAAGGTTCTCGCTGTGAAGAATCTTAAAATTTGAATTCCCCTCGTGATGGGTTTGCAGTTGTGCAGTCGTGCATGCGAGTCCGAAAACTGACCAAATCCGTTCAACCCTGAGATGTAGGAAATGTTTCGGCTTTGGCGAGTTACATCTTGCAACAATGATTCTTTGTTTCGCCGAAAGTAGGGGAAATGACATGCGATTTGCATACAGGTTTTGATACCTTAGAAGGCAAGTTGCGTTTTGGGACGCTATACCAACACATATGAAGATGCCAGTGTGAATCTTTCCTTCTAAAAGTCCTGCTACAGTTATATTGGTTGAAACTCGTACAACATTTGCCCGAGCAGTTTCTCCATTCATGTATGAATACTCTCAGAAATCTTGTTGAATCGGACCTGGAAAGAGGAACTGTAGGATTGCGGGAAGCAGTTCAGAGACAAAAACGTGCCTTGATTTGCTGACTCCAATTGTTCAGCAACTGATGGTGGAAAAGGTCATCAGAGTTTTGATGAAAGGAGCCACAATCAACGGTAGTCCTGGCATCTCAACAACCAATCTCCGCTGCATCATCGCTTTAATTTTAACCCTATCCTTGATCTCGTTCGATCCGGTAGGCAATTTCTGTTCCAACAAACTAGAGCTACAGACTTCGTGAAGCTAGGCCCTCTAAATTTTCGATTGACTTGCCTCACGTAGGATCTTCTGTGGACCTTGACATTCATTGTGTTTCATTCGGTCTCGAGATATGCCGACGATCGAGTTGTACACATTTTGAGCTTCTCCCCAATTAACTCATGGTTGTGCCCTGGTGTTGGTCAAGACAAATCTGTTTGTAGTGGCACTCAGAAATGTCAGCAGTTTCGTAATCCTTCTGTGATGCGTACTTTCCTGCTTAGAAAGAATACGTGGAGTACTTCACAGCAGAATCTAATTTTGGCTGCCATTCCACCACTCAAGCTTTAAATATATGCCCTTATCACTGGGATCAGCACGCATCAAATAGTTGTCAAAATTACTAGAAACACGTGCGTAATAGCGATTCATACACGAGCTTTTGCAGGAGCTTCTCGACATAATCCAGTAAGAAAAGAGAAAAGCTTTACATCACTTGTAAATCTCATTCGATGGCAGAAACAATTGTTTAGAGCTGTGTAGCAATATCCTCTAGGAATTTACTGGGCTAACGTTGTGAACCAGCAATATGATGCGAGTCAATCCACTCTTCAAGCCCGCACATTACATCTCAAGATTAAGAGCATTTACGAAGTTGCTGTGCAAATTAACTGGCGAGCAGTCAAAACTCGCCACAGACACCAAACAAAGTCTCAGAACCCGCAAGGCTCTGTTTGAGTACTATTGAAGCGGCTGCATCTGTAGACTTGTGGATAGCATGCTCCGATAAATTCACAGCTGCAGCCTACCACGTTGCCATGCACGCACGTCACTCCGACTCCTTCGTCGCATATTTCCTTAACGCGACACACTACACCAAAAGCAAATTTTTAGCACTTGGAGCCTTGTGAAGGAATAATCCATCACGAAGATAATCTTGAGGGTAGGTTGATGATGCCAAAGGACAGGCTTAAATCTAAGAATGCACAGATTCCTGGCGAGTATTTACAAGAGGTAATGATTAAAAGCACACGCTACTAAAATGTTGCGAAAGTTAATCATCACGAGCCTTCGACTCACAAGCTGGGATTCGGTAGCCAGACTTCACGTCAGGCACTAGTAACCGTCGAGAGACTTGGTGGATGGCAGGATCGTGAGTAACAACCATCTGCAAATTAAACCAAGCGAGAATGAACATTCCCAGATTAGTACACGACAAGGAAAAACGATTTTGCATTACAAAGCCCTGAAACTTGCTAATTTATCGGTTTCTGAAACTGTGTAGGCTTGGTGCTAGTACCTGATTTGAGTTAGCATTGCTTAGGTTTTGCACGAAGGACCACTTTCGTGCAGCTTCTGCACAATTCGCGAGCTGAAAATGAGAACATGTTTTAGATTATACATAATATCTATCATTCTTAGGGTGTGCACCGCAAAAGATGTGCTGAGAAGATATCTCTGTGTTTCCGATTTATGGGATGTTCGTATTAACCTAACTCGAAATATTTGTCCTAGCTTCAATTGACATCTATTTGTCTTCTTACTCTTTTACCTCTAGCAATGGTCAATCTGTCTTAATGTGAAGGTGAACTCAAAAGCTTTTGGTGACAGTCACTAAATTTGTCCTGCACTAAATTTAAGAAATTATCTAAGCTCTGGTGCACTTGACAAGAGCTATCATTGATTCTGACGCATATATTAGGCTAGCGATCCAAAACAAGCTCATTTTCATCGGAATAGCATATAGAAATGAGGTGTATGTCTTCATGTTCCAACAACCGTTAGAACAAAAAAGACACTTGAGTGGTGACATATGAGCAACAGGCGAAAGTGAAGAAGGGATGCTAACTGGACACAATTCGCACTCTCTTTGCTCGCCATCCTCAGGTTGTACTTGGAAATTTTTCAGATGGTCCAGATGATGCTCCAAACAACGATGGCTCCTTTTTATTAAAAAAAAAAACAAAAACAAAAACAAAAACAAAAAACAGCTAAGTCTAAAAATCTCAATGAGGCCGTTTGCCTTTTCTCCATGTAATATTAATATTGCATGGTACCAATAACAACAGCTCACCAGTGAAGACAAGCAGCAACAAGAGGCACCCGCAAACATCCCTAGCATGCCAATTCGCCATCGTTTTGGAGAGCAGCTCTTCTTTCCTCCCTGAACGCAACCCTGCTCCACAACAACGCCACAAGGAGACCCCAACACAATCCGCAAAACAGCTCAAGTCCGAGCCAGCCCACACCAGGTGTACATTCAAACTCCACCCCAACCAGGCTAAACAAACGACCCAGCTGGAAACCGTGTCAGCTCAGGTTACGAATCGCAGTCGCCGGTCCCGGTTCCAGTACCACCTGATCTCTCAGGTGCGAAGATATTACTACCCTCACAAAACAAACCAGCAGTGGCAGCAGCAGCAGCAGCAGCAACTGTAGCAACGGCGAGAGAATTGACGTGGAGATGGGGTTCATGCAGGTGGGACCAAGCCAAGTCAAAACCAAGGCCAGGGCGAAGGGACAAAGTCGTGACAGAGGCGTCCCAGACGTAGAAACTGAACGCATGCTCTAATAATGCACTCTCTGCCAGGCTGCGGCGATGGCGACGAGTGGGCGCGACGAACGTCCCGCCAGGGCTACGGCACCCACAACGCGGCGCATTCACTCCCGTACTCTCCCCCACCTGATCAGACAGACTATGGCATCCGTAATGGCGGAATGAAGGGAATGATCGATCGACGCAGTGCGATGATCCCATGCTCTCTCACACACACACACACACACACACACAAAAACTCACACACACTGGTTGACTTGCGCTAGAAGAAGACCCATCAATTCCACGCTCCTCTGGGATCCCTCCATCACAACTTCTGGCACCGTAACCTATCAACGATCCGCGAGCAACAACACCATATCGATGATCAATCGGCGCGGGCCGAACGTACCGTCCCACCACATTCGTTGTGGATCTTCTTATTCTTCGTCTTCTTCGTGTTTGACTCGGATCCAGTGCGTGGATTTCGTGTGTTAGCCATCGCGTCTGGACCCAGTTTCAATGGATTCATTTTCATGGCTCCCCTTTTCACTTACCCTCCGACGCGATTACAAACCAAAACTATCGCAATTAAACAAAATCTAACTAACTCAACACCCAGCTAGTGCGTTTGTGGTGGATTTTTTTATGCATGGCTTCGAGTTTGCGACGTCTTGCTTTCGGTGATGTATTTTTTGTTTTTTCATGTTGTTTTTGTGTTGGTTTTGACTCGTGATTGGGTTGAGGGAGGGAGTGTGCAACTGTGGGGTGTTTTTGAATTTAATGATTTTTAATCGACATTCTGAAGTGAAGATGTTTCTTTGTTGTTGTTGTGTCCGTGTTGGTTGAGTGCTCAAGAATTTGATTTAATTTGTTGTGGAGTTGAGCAAAAGATTGTCCTTGTTTCATTCAAAGTATTTTGCAGTTTTCTTTACTTATTATGACTGCTACTAAACAATGCGTTAAAAATGAGATTTTTTTTACTTTGTAGGTTATGGTTTATGTGATAATGTCACCATTCATAAAAATAAATAAAAAATAAAAAAGAAAGGTTATTAAGGTGTAAGTGACTTGGTTATATTATAAAAATTGTACTTTGATTGTTGTGTAGATGCTTATTGAATTGTAAATTGATTATATCTTATTTACTAAAATTTGAGATATTTGTATAAACATTCTTATGTTATAATATATATATATATATATGCATTCCTTGTTCTATGTCCCTGTTCCGAGCTTCCATCCCTTGTTTCATATCCTCCAAAATTAATCATCACATGGTTTGGACTGTATGGCTTTAACAACATTTGAATGTGGCTTTAATAACTCCCCATATATATATATATACATATATACAATTTAAATAAACACCTATGCCACTTCTACTACTATTGATAGCAACATAAGGCAACAATATTGTTGCCTTATGTTGCTATCAATTAAGACCAAAGATTATTACCACATACCAAATTTCTATTGATGTAATTAATTATTGTATACTAATTTTAAAAAATTTCAATATATCATTCTAACAAATTACCATAAAAACAGCATAGCTAAGAATTAAACAAACATATTTTATTAAGATCATATAAAGATAAATAAAATGAATAAAATAAATAATATATATCAATTTGCAATCAAATATATAATCAAAAATATTATATAGAAATTAAAAATAAACTTTAATAATAAAAATTAAATTAAAAAAATATGTTAGCATAAGTGGCAAATGAAAAGTATAAAAAATAGTCGTAAGTTATAATATTTTCTTTATGTTGAAAATTCTTTTTGTTATATAGAAAAAAAAATATTAGACCAGAAAAGCACATAAAGCAAAGAATTATAAAGCTAATAAAATATTTTTTAAAAAAATTATAAATTTGCATAAGAATATAAACTTTTAAATATTTCAATTTTAGATTCTTTGAAAATTACCAAACGATATATGTTTATTATGAAGAATTATTAGATAATTATCAAAAGAATTTAAATAAAATTAGACGATTGATATTTAAATGTACACATAGAAATGCAAGCTTAATTTTGACTTTATTGCATATTTTTGTATTACTATGTAAACATGTATAGCAATAAAGTTCTTCATTTATTTTTTGAAATAATATTTTTAATAAATTATATTATAATTTCTATAATTCATTATTTTATAGAATGAATTTATTAAATATATATTCATATATAACTAATAATAATAATAATAATAATAATAATAATAAACTAAAAAATACTATAAAAATTAATAATCAACATTGAAATATGTTGGTTTTAAAAGTATTGTAAAATTAGTTTGATACAAAGTTTAAGCTCATAACTTATACTTCAAGTTAAAACACATCAGAAATGCAATATATATATATATATATATATATATATATATAAATTAATAAAGATATTCTTATGTTCTCAAATTTAATTTCTTTATAGTTTTTAAGTACATATATATATATATATATATATATATATATATATATATATAATTACATGAATTTTAAAATCTCATATTTGCATTCTGAAATTTAAAGAATTAAATAATTTTTAATTTTTCAGTTAATTTCTTAAATTTAAAATGTATTTTAATTCTTATAAAAAATTATAATAATTTTCTAAATTAAAAGTATTGTAGATGTTGGATTAGTTTAGTTTAATCTAAAAAAATGCATTTTAATTGTTTTTTTAACAACTATAATTTAATATATATATATATTTATTAAAAATATTTTATTTTATTCTATTTTAGAATATTGTATAATATTATTTAATTTTTTAAAAATAATAACAAAAGTCTTACAATAAAAAGTTTATATTGATAAGTTTACATTGAAAAGTTTACAAAAAAAAGTTATATTGATAAGTTTTAATGTTTTCATATAAATAGTTGTAATGATAGTTTTATTATATGTTTAATAATTATTTCTGTTTTAAATTTAAAAATTTTAAATAACATTTTTTTTTATATATATATAAATTGGATCCGTAATAAAAATAATCAAAAGTGAAGGAGTGGGATTGTTGCAAGAACTTTACTTTTAAATTTCAAAAATTCCAAGTTCAATATTTCTATATTACTATATAATATATGTATTTTTTAAATAATAGAAATAATCATAAAAATAATTGTGACAAAGAACCTTAATTAGAGTAATAATATAGTAAAATAGAAAAACCGCAAAGATTGGAACTTGCAATCAGTTCCATTGGCAATACAATATTTCATTAACTAAAAAATATTACTTTCATTACATTTATATATCTATATATATATATATATATATAAAATTGGTGTTTTAATTTTAATTGCTTTTTAAAAGACCGTACTATAATAATTTCTAGATTATGATGGTTATTTTCTTCACTAATACTGCAACTATAGCATCAAATACTTGGGCAACCTTATTTTAAACTCGAGGCATTAGGATAATTAATTTTAAAAGTAAAATTATCCAAAATTAATGGTTAAATTATCATACCAGTCATATTTAAGAACAATATTTTTGTTAAGGTAAATAATATTATTAAGTTGAATGTATATATTATTTACCTGAACAATAAATATATATAATCAACAATGGCTTGCAACAATAGCTTTTATTCAACTAAAACTTATATATATATATATATATATATATATTCTATTTAAGTAGAACCATCATTTTTAAGAATAGGATTTTTAAATTAAATATTTTCAAAATATATATGGAAATGATTTGATAAATTGCCTTTATAGTATGCATCAAAGACTTATGCATTATCAACAAGAAGCTCAAAGTTGGTACAATAATCATGTAGGTCCATATTAAAATTATTATTTGGAACTTAAAAAAGATGATAGAGAGTGGCTATTAAAAAACACATTTCAATAAAATATAACTATTACAAATTTTAGACTAAAAAAATCATTTCAATTTGTAATTGTTTATCAAGTCAATTAAGATTTTTATTTTTTTTATTTTTTTTAACAATCTAACATTGCATGTAAGTATGTATTATTCTTTATGTTTAGCTTCTAAATTGCTTCTAACAATTATATATTTTAAAATGAAGTTTTCTACCACAACACAAACTCTAGACATAGGTAAAATAAAATTGGATGTTAATTTTTTGTTTATTTTTCAAAACTTTAAGAACTTTTAAAATTATCTTAAAACATCCATGAGGTTCTAAAACCTTCTAAAATTCTTTAGATTCTTAAGAACTTTTGGTGGTTTTATTGAAGTTCTTTTCTTTTTTAATTAATTATTTAAAAATAATTATAGTTGTAGGACTTTTTTCTGAGACTTTTATGGAACCTAGGTTTTATATTAAAATAAAGAATTGGGATAAGCAATACTTCAATTGTGTAACAAAAAGTTTTAGAACAATAAAGTTATTGTCTTGCTTTAAGTTTTATATTAATTTTGTTTTATATCTATTACCTTATTTTTCTTGTATATCTTGATTTCTTAGTTACTTATATTTTCATTCTCAATGTTAGAAATATTTTAAAGAGTTGTTTATGCAGGTATAATAAATATTCATCTTTAACCAAGTATGATCCTAAGTCCATGATATTTTTGTGGTCATCAATTTAAACTACAATATCTACATATTTATTTCATTTTTATAATTGTGTCATAGTATATTTTTTAAAGTATTTTCTTTTAAATATCAACAAAAAAAATACTCATTCTTTTAAATATCAACAAAAAAAATACTCATTCTTTTAGATTCTTTCTGGAATACCATTTTTTATAGGTTATTTATGAATACAATAAATTATAGTATATTTATAATTTGTTACATTTATTTCTTTGCATGTATTAGCCACTTCTCTCATATTTCTAAATCATGTAAAAAATTGAATAGTTAAACCTTGTTCAATACATAGAATTCATTTTTTAAAAGTGGTTACACACAGGCATAGGCTTCTCTCTGACCTGTAAAACTTCTCAAATTTGGTCAAACAACGCTAAAAATATGTGTACTGTTTTTAACCATTTCAACACTCAATACACAACAAATGCTTCAATAATTCTCACCATCATTTTTCTACCAAAATATTCATTTTTTCTCATGTTTCTATGAAAAAGGTTACAGTAATATTCAGATTCTCCTTTCTTACGAAGCAAGCTCCTCATCACAAAAGCCGTCACTCCAAACCGGATGACATTCAGAAAATTGTTAAGGAATCCTGCCGTAGTTCTAGATTAATGCTTCTCTTATTCAAACTGATTATACTCTTTATCAGATAGTGAAGTATATAGTCTTTCTGCATTGTTACCATGTTGAAACAATAGAATCGCACAAACATCATGTTGGAGGATGTCAAACAGTTCAACTAAACAAATTATTGCACCTAATTTACAGACTTTTGTAAACTCTACAATGAAGGATTACCTTCTGGTAAGTAGCATTGCCCCTTCAAACTTAGAGAAACAAAAGACTGACATGGATGTGCATATTTCAACAAGTAGTACATCTGCTCTACAACAAGAAAAATCTGACGCATCAGACAAGTATGCTCCAGGTCCTATGCACAGAGTTCACACATTTCACGCTGTTCAGGATCAATCAGAACTTCGTATGCTTGTGCAAGCTCCTTGAAATGCAGACAGAAACCGACTTCTGGGGGCATTCAATATCACGACTCCTCTAGTGCAAATCAACAAAGATCATTGCAACATTCAATTTTGATCAGTTCTATCTCTTCTTCTGCTTCGAAGCTGCATTCCTGTGCATTGGATTACATGGGCCACTCTCCACAAACATAGAAGTATCGTGACAGTGTATCTCCCACCTGTTATACAAACATGCTGGATTTTGCCGGCCGTGATACACCAACTCTTCCTCACTTGTACATGATTTTGTCAAGCTGGTGACTAAATACTGTATCAAAATTTGAAGTGTATCCAGCAGTAATAACTACGGGAAGGCTTGTCGAAGGAAAGAAAGCTAACCACGCGGTGTGTCATTGCAGCTGAATTGCATTTGTGGTAAAGTGTCCAACTTAGCGGATTCCACTTGCATGTGAGCCGTGTATGGGGTAGAGCAATCTTCACATGTGATGTTTTCAGTAGTTGCATGGGTGAGCTCATAGTTCCGCTTGTGTTAATATGTGTTAATATGAGAGTGCATCTGGGTGGAAGGAGCGAGAACATAGCGTCTGCAGGATGTTGCTTCGTCTACTAGTTACTGCCATGTAGTTAAACCACGTTTGTTTTGCATATACGTCCACACAAATTCCCATATGGACTTGAGAGATTTGGCTAGGCCGACGGGCACTACGGTCTGAGAAGTCTGCAGGAGGTTTCACACATATTACCAAATATTTCATTGCAATCCATATTTGTTCCTGTGTCGAAGCATTGTTTTACTGTTCATAAAGGTCGAACCACATTAAGCAATCCATAAGCTCGAAATTGAATTCACTTGCCTGCAGGGGAAATTAACAACCGATGGCAAAAGCGAGAGACTATCAAAGCTTTTCTGTTAGGGTGATTTTAGAATGCAATACAAAGGGCATGATCATGAAATTTCCAAAATTATGGAATGTTGTAGATACATTTGATGCTTTCTACAAACATCTGAGATTATGAGATTATGATCTACTAAATCATCGCCACATGTAGAGTGATGACGGTGGCCGATGGCGTCGCCCAAGGCTCTTTGTTACTGCCATTGCCGACGGATTCTTCTTACCCTGACCCTAGATCAAGCTCTTCATCTGAATCGATAGAGTTCACAAAATCATAATACGGGTTCACCTGCAAAAACAGGAATATTAATAAATAGAGCACAGAATTTAGGTATCGTGTTGTAATAGAAATCAAATGAACTAATTCGTTCACATTTGAAATCTTTCTGTGGAAAATACAGCGCTAAAATAACTCGTACCTTGGGACGGGGTTTAACAGCTTCAAACTGGAAAAAATGAGGATCAGAAAAATCTGGGGGCTCTAGAACTATGTATGCGCCTTTATTGTAATATCGGTCCTCAGAAGCCTGAAATTGAGGGTAATCAGGGGCGCTGAATAAAGTAATGAGCTTGCCAGCATTCACCACATGATCAACAGTGTAGCCCTTATTCATAGCCTCCATGTCCGGTCTCTTTTCTCTCGCGTCAGGGCCTTCGTGAGACCTTACAATTAACTGCATCCATAATCACAGCATCTCGATTCATTACTTAAAACAGATGCAAGAAGACATATTCCACAACGCCTGACAAGCAAGTGAAACCTCAATCGGCAGACAAACAGAAGCAAGAGAAGAACGTTGCAGCCCAATTGACAATCGCCTTCGTGTTGACCTAAACATGTCATACTCTGGATAGAAGAGAGAAAACAAAAAAGGAAAAGTCGGATGATTTGTACCTTGAGCTTGTGCTTTTCCATGAACTCTTGGGTGCAGTCAGGACCAAATAAAAGGCCAATTCCACGTTGGTCATTGTGAGAAAGACCGTTCTTCGGTGAAGGGTCTGACCACAGCACGTCCCCAGGGATGACGTTTGCTCCGAATCCAGAAGGGTCTAGAACCGTGCGCCTTACCTTTTGCAAATCATCAATTGTCCCAATTTTCAAGTTTTTTTCGTTCACGATTCGACTCGTGTTCGACTGCCTGTGGTCAACATGGACGAAGTTGTTCAGACAAGCAAACAAGAAAAAACCACTGTTTTGGATCCAAACTACGACCACGTCCCAACAAACATAAAGATACTCCGCTCATTTGCTTATACCCAACTAACATGAAAGCTGCAAAACGAGCACAATGTGCTGAAGTTTGATTGTTTTCACTGTGAACATACCTGGAACTCTTGCCTTTTTGTTTTTTAGGGACCTCTTTCTCAACCTGTCGGAAGAGACCGCCGTGAGCCATGTACACACAGCCCGCCACTCTGGCAGCGAGAGGATGGCCTTCAAAGCAACCTAGCAATTTGCGGTACAAATGCTTAGCTCGGTCACCGAATTTGGACATGATTTCTTGCTCGAACCCATATGCACTGGTACAAAACTTGGTCTCGTGGTTGCCTCGTAACAAGAATACTCGATGGGGTAATAAAAGCTGCAAGTCTAACCAACAAACCATTATAACGACCTTACAGTATGCACATGGAAGGTACAGGAATTAGCGTGAGGCAGACTGCTATCATCGCGGCATTCTGACCCTTGATAGAATCAACACCCATCAACATAATGATGATGATGGCGATAATGAGAAATATATAATTGATTAACTAAGTTCAATGGAATAAGATCTAACGTCTACGCCGTCAACTCTGCGTTGCATGGACAGAACGATTGTAGCAATAATAGGAGTGATATGAAGCAGGAGGTTGTGAGTAAAAATCAGTTGGCATACCTTCCAAGAAAGGAGATAGAAGTAGGTCTCGAAGCCCCAGGCACCCCTATCAACGTAATCGCCATTAAATACAAATAAACGATTGGCGGAAGGGGGACCGGCGATTTCCAGAAGATGCAACACGTCGTGAAACTGTCCATGAACGTCCCCTACGAGTACAACTGAGCAGGAATGATCGACTGGGACATCCACACAGTTTGGCTCCCGATGCAACAACTTTGACCACAAACAGAACAGGAAGGATCAGCATTCCTGAAAAACGAGTTACAATAAGCTTCAAATCACTAGTTCAGAACAACAATAAAATAAAATAAAATAAAACAAATTACTGATACAAATCAACATCTTATCCAGCCATACTGGTCAGCTGGACCTTGCCTCTTCGCCAGACTTCATTGGACAATTCCGGTGTTAGGAACTTCAGAGACGATCACTAATCAGAAATCATTCAGGTAAAACCTAGCGGGATTTTTTTGAACGGGGACGTAGTTCAGAATAAAAACAGGGTGCTTCTCACATCGAAAATGAGAAAATTGCAGAAAAGAAACGAAACAAATATTTCATTTTATTCTGGGCTCTCTTCCTACACAGAGGATTCCAAAATTCAGATATGAAGATGCTTGCTATAAAGAGGGCATACTAAAACCCAAATTGTGTATCCGCGTGAACCAAAATGATTATAAACCAAAATTCGCGTCTTCAGCGTCAACAACTTTCGAAGCACTCGCATTGATAAGAGAATATTCACATGACGGAGCATACGCTTCTTGTAGCGGCGGTCAAGCACTCAAACAAAAGGTTCCAAGACCTCAGAAACTAGAGGATGATTCTATTACGATCACGACTAATGAAAGAAAAGGCATCACTCACCTTGTGAGCTGCCAGTAACAGCGAATCGATCACGGGAACAGGCAGAACAGTGGGGAGCTCCGTGGGCAGCAAGTGACGAGAAGCAAACTCCAGCACCTTGCCTAACTGCTGCACCCACTCTAGTGTCAGCGCTCCATTCTCTGGCCACTTCATAACTGTAGCTTGAGGGTCTGTTCCCTCTTCACTGCCCTCATTCTGCTGTGACTTCTCATTCTGCCGGTGCGCGGAGGAGGCGCGCGTGACGCGTCGCGCGTCCATGTGCGCTCTACTGTGTCAGTAATTTCGATAGGCCTTGAGGCGCATCGCGAGCAGCCCGGCCTTAAAAACACAGATCACTGCCAACCCTCAACCTAAACTCGAGCTGAAAACATTGTGTACCCAACCCTCAACTCCCATTCTCAATCGTAGCGCTCCACGCCATTCGTCGATCATACGCATACCCCACGCATACACACATCATTGGACAACACAATTCGTGTAGGAATACATAAATAAATAAATATATTATTATGTATTTATATACGGTTAACAGAATGTTGATCCAGTCTTCGTAGTCTATTAAAAGCACGATTTCCTCTTCAGTGGGTCCGTTGTGAGAATCAGACAGCATCAGGGTGTTTGTTGAAAGGTCTCTGCGCTGTACGAACTGCGATCAGAGGAAAATTTAGGAGTAAGTTTCCAGCCGGAGGATACTTCTGATACTCTCACTCCAATAGAGTCTTGCTAAAAAGGTTGGAATTGTTCACTTTAGCCTGAGCCCTCGTAACTGGGAAGCGAATCGGTCTTCGACGACGTATAACATTTTCAAATTTCCCGACAAGTAGCTTCTGGTCAGGAATAATTGCTCCATGTCTGGGACACAGCAACGTGCTCCACGTCTTTGGGGCCCTCAATCCACACCCTGTCACCAGCTGCAGTCAACTTCCAGTGACGCAAACACCGGACACAGACTCGGTGAATTTAGAGAGTTTCTACAACGGGCGGTATTGTTAGGAGACTGTATGGAGGCAGTTGAACTTCTTAGCTACTGCCCCACTGAGATGGTTGGTGGAGGTAAGTCTTTGAACCGCGTCAACCGCAGACACGGAAGAAACGTCTGGTTACTGAGGACTTCAAGTTGGGCATTAGCAGCAAGATTGAGTTGCAAAGAAGTGCGGCCGGCACACAATCACTTTTCTTGCATCTGCGTGAACGAAATTCTACCTGGTGCAGCACAAAAACCTGACAATACGTTAAATTGAATGTGGGTTCACATTGTGTATAAATTCTGCGGACAATGCCTTGGACTTTAGAGTAATGGTAAGGTGTGGCATTCTACACGACGACTGGAGTGATTGCCATAAATTTCTCGAAAAAGACTCAATTATTACTGTCACCATGTGCAAACAAGATAATATCAACCCAGGAGGTGAGAGATTCAGAATACATCGTCGTTTCAAGAGTTCAGATATTCTACAATTGTTTCAAGCACTGTCGACATGCACATCAACCATCGAACTTCAGAAACCTTAATCAGAAATCGAAGTTATAGGGGTTCAACGTTTCTGCCATGAGCAACGTTATCCTGAAAAACAACCATTGCAATCACAAGTGGGGCTCCGACTACTTCCCAACTCATTGATTTCGCAAGTGAGCGTAGTTTCATCATTATATAATCAACCAAGCTAAATGAGAGAAATTGTTTCTCCTAAACTCACAGGTGTTGTACAATCGTAACACCCGCAATCTATTTAAACAATCAACCTATTCCCTACTTCTAATTAGCAGGACATGTATGAGAAAGTTAAATCCTGTAATGTTAAACTTGGGTTCATTTCCTAAAATAGCTTACCAGATCCAGCAAGCATACATGATCTATTGTTGCGCACACTGAGTGCGAGGACCAGAAGATTCCTCATCCTCTTCGTAAGCTTCTTGTGCATGTACTTGCTTCCTTCTCATCTCCTCATCAATATTAACGTCATATAGCGTGGTTTCCTCACATTCATCCAATTCCATATCTGTCATCTGCCTAGTCGGTCTGGGAGGAAGAACCGTCTCCAAAGCCTTGATTTGCTCTAGGGACAGGGAACCACTCTCAGGGACTTCAACTGTAAAATGAAGGTACAACCTGCCTTTCATGAAGGGCCTTAGGTGATGTGGCATGCCCTCGTCATTGATAGCCTTGAATTGACCTGAACAATAACCACCAATGATACGTCAACCCTTTTTCTCCAAAATACCTTCTTATGGCAACGTTACATTGTGAACTGAGAACAAAGAGAAGAACAAAACACAAGAATAATTAACACGAGAGAATGAGAAATTGATGCATTGCAGCAAGCAAATACCTGGCTTGATAATCTCCCCGGGGGCTGACTTAATCAGAAGTTGCCGTCCATCAAGGTGTGTGAGTGGGAATTGGAAACCACACAAAGCTTCTGTGAGGCTCAAAGTATGCTCCACAAACAGATCGTCGACTTTCCTCTTGAATTTAGGATGCTCCTTCAGTTGCAATACAAAGACGATGTCACCTGTAATGGTATCCGGCTGCACGAGGACGCACACAAAGGTGTGTTAATTCAGGAATACCGAATCACGAAGAACCACAACATTGCAATCTACTAAGGCATCCCAAAACTATAAATAATCATTGACGTGGTTGTTCTGGGAAACGTACCGCTTCATCTGCCTCGCCCTGGAAGGTGATCTTCTGTCCATGCTGCATTCCTTTCTCTACATGCACTTCCAACAATTTCTTGTCCTGCACAACCTTTTGACCCTTGCACTGTCCACACCTGTCCTTTTCAACAATAGTCTCCCCTGCAAAAGTATTTCCAAAATTAGCAGTACGTAAATTGAAGAGAACAACCACGAACAGCCAAGCGAATTGAACATACACTTCAGCAACTATTGTCAATTGACATCAAAGGACACATTAGTTACCAGATCCTTTGCAGTCAGGACACACATGTTGCATCTGCTGTATCATGTTAGGACCCAGCTGACGGATTGAAACCTTCATGCCTGAACCTTGACATCCTGCGCATCGACTGGATGCACCAGTCTTCGATCCCTTACTGCACAATTCGAACTTTTGAAAAGTTAAGAAATGAAAATGAGAACACTCTAAAGCTCCGGCATCAACGAAGGTGATAGGTCCCCCAATCACCTACAGCCTAAACACTGTAAGATTTTTGAGACGCAGAAGTCTTTGGTAATTATATTCTCTCGGTATGGTATTAGTCGACCGCATTGCTCAGCACAAATCACTTTCCCGAGGCACATTCGAGCTAAGATATTTTAACGATCCTGTGGTAAAAAAAACCTATTTTGATAGGTTTTTATATTTTAATAGACGCACAAGAGGCTTACCCTTTGCATTTTGAGCAAAGCACATTCCGAGACAGAGACAACTTCTTCGAAGTTCCATTGTACAAGTCTTCCAGCGAAACCTTCAAGGGGTGAACTACGTCTTCTCCTCTTCTCTGTCGCCTACCGCCGCCCCTGCCACTACCGCCAGCAAACGAATCTGCCAATCAGAGAAAAATGACCCGATTGCCCTTAGTAACATAAGTATTGTTCCCTCGGGGGATAGACAAGTAATTCGACTGAACAGCTGTACCCAATCCAGATCGTGATGATGGGAACGGAGTACACACTTACCCCCAAATGGACTTCCACCACCACCGAAGAACGATTCAAAGATGTCGAATGGATTGTGTCCACCGCCACCTCCGCCCATCCCCTCCTTGAGAGCATCCTCTCCATATTGATCGTACAGTTCCCGCTTCTCGGGATCACTTAAAACTTCGTATGCCTGAGAAAGCTCCTTGAACTGCAAAAGAACCCGCGTAGTTACCAATTAGTATCCCTAACGTATGAAAAATACGCAAACAAATTCTCCCAAGCACGACCTTCGAGTAGAGCCATCGTCATGCATATGAGCATCAAGGGGAGGGCGAAGTTTCACAATCACATCTTGACAAAACGGAGTAAATGCACGAGGTGACATCAGACCTAGCACAGACTCACGAGGAACGTACAACTCCAATGCTCACGCAAGCCAAGTAGTATACCACCTCACACTCTGTAGGTCCATCGGATATGTCCTGAGGACGGGCAGACCTTTCCACGGCCAAGGAACTAGACACAGAGACCGATCCCCAACTAAAACACTATCGTACCTTCTCCGGGTCTCCACCCTTATCAGGATGATTCTTAATTGCCGCCTTCCTGTACGCCTTCTTCAGCTCATCCTGCGACGCGCTCTTCGACACCCCGAGCGTTTCATAATACTTCGTGTTGTCACTCTTCTTTGGCATACGCCCAAACATGGCTGCTGCAGACTTCGTCTACCAAGCCTCACCACAAAAAAACACACACAAAAACGCTCTCCAAAATCCGAACACAACCAGCAAGAGTCCACACCTTAACGACTACGCCACTCCTTCCAACCTTTCCAATCCCCGTTGGTCTCCAATACAAGACAACCTCTCCCCCGCGAACGCACTGCTTTAACATGAAAAACGAAATGCAACCGCAGTTCCGTCCTGGTCTCTAGTACCGCCGATGAATCAAAAGCCGCATGACGAATGCCAGCGTCGGGGGGTAGAAGATTCCGACGTAGCGAGCGCAGGGGCGAAAGGCGTCTTCGTCGCAGGACTGAGACACCGAGCGCAATTGGGAACCCTAGAATGACGAAGACGGCATTCTAATCTGCGACTCCATACTTTTCCTCTCCGTCCACTGTGCTCCCCCTTTCAGCCCTTCCGTTCCATGGTCTTCCACAGACCACCATCGGAAGCCTCCAGATGGCGCCTCTCCGCCGTCCATCTAAAAAGAATCTAACGGCCACGATAAATCCCCTCAAACTAGTGCTCCGTTCTTGCCGATCCCGCCATATGATACGGCCGATCCATCCCCACCGTCCATCGACTCATCCAACGATGGATATTCGGACCCCCCACTTCGAAGACCCTAAAAACTCAGCCCCTCATTTCTGAGTGCGACACGGGTTGCACAGGCGCGGATGATCGGCTCGCTTTTAAGGCCCCCATTGCACGGGTTTCGGTATCCGCGGTGTCGAAACGACTTGGCGTCAACTGGAATGGGTGCTGTTCACACTGTCGACTCTCAAGTTTCATTTATGGTCCACTTCGCTTTAACTTGTGAAGAAGTTTTTAGACAAACAAAACAAAGAGAGCATCGAATTGGTCAAGAGATTTTTTGTGGGTCATACCAGAACTTCTATGATTTCTACTTTTTTGGATCATCTTCTCTGTTTTTATGTTTTTTTAGTGGGTGTTTGAATCATTCTAAGTTGCTATAATTTAATTGTGTTTACATGTTTCGTAATGTTTCTTGTATGATTATTGACTTAAATGGGTATATATATGATACAATTTTGATGGGGTAGACAGAGATGACTGCATAAATTTAGCTACACCAATCACTACAGAGTGAATAAAATGAGAAGATATTGTTTCTTCAATTATGCACTTCATGCTGTGCAATGCCCCAGAGATCTTATTGCATTGAAAAACTCTCCTAACACTGTTTTCTGTATATATAGATGCATTTTCATTGGACAGTTCTTTTTTTACTTTATATTACTCTAACTGTTAAGTATTTTTTCAAATAATAATAAATGTAAAAAGTACAAAGAATAAAATAAAATTTACTATTTTTCTTTAGTTTGAATTCGATATTTTTTTATTTTTATTTTTATAATCTATATAACGAATGAATATTGAGATCATTTTTTAAATTCACGCCTTCGATCCATAACTCTTGAAAAATTAGACAGAAGTTATTACGTACTGTGTAAGATTCACTTTAAACTTTAAGGCAATTATAATTACTTTTTCAAACCATGCTTAGTTTCAAAAACCATCTAATAATATCTTATACGAATTGACATTCTTTACATATGATTGAAGTAATCAAAATCAGTGCATAGAATATTTTTCTATTAAATAATAAATGTTCAAATTTTGTCAGATCCCGAATTAAATGTAATTAAATGGAATAAATAATGAAGAGTTGAAATAAGTAAATCCGAGAAAACAATTTTTGTGTTAAAAGTAAAACTTTTTTGTTCAGCACACAGGGTCATGAGACCTTGGTGGATGAACCGGCTTACTTCCAATGATACATCACTAACATTCATCGATTTTAACATATGAAGTCATTCATCTACAAATTATTCATTTCACATAGTTCTGCCACCCTCAGTAAATCCTGGCAGACTGCTTGTTAAAAAAAGCAAGGTTGAGGCCCTAGAAAAGTGGAAATCGACCACCGTGCCGCCTTTCGCACACCGCAACCTCATTCTCTCGCACATGGCGATGAGAGCAGGCTCGCTGATCCTTCGATTTTCACGGCACTCCAATTAAAGCACTGTTGCTTAACATTTTGAGGTTGAAGACTCACTGGAAGTAGTGGAAGGGATCCTGGTCGACACTGGCAAATTGTAGTCAGCGAAGAAGCGCGAGACACGGATTTCATCTGCGAAACGAACTGCGAGGTTGGTAGCGTCGTATGCTCCTTGCTAAATGGCGATGCAACAATGTTGATTACAATGACGTTTTCTGCGTTTGTTCGTGATTTCACGGAATTTTGCTGAATTGTGAAGACTGCTCTGCTTTCTGTCGAATTCGACTGCTGCACATGTGGTCACAAGTAGCTATGCGACATGTCACTGGACCAGGGAATTTCTCAATATTCAAGATTGCTGTCGATCGAAGTTGCCATGGGTGTCAGCAGAACGAGTGTCAATGTGTTTTTGAGGTTGAATCCTTAATAGATTCCTCCAAAGTCTTTTCCTTTAATATGTCTTTCAATCAGGTTCTGAAATCAATGACGGCATGCCTATCCACTCTAAACATGTTGAGAAGTGTGTAACGTTAGGGACTGATTGCTTTGGTTTTAGTTTTAAAATAATCACTCGAAAGATTCCACAACGCAAGAGGCATGACAATCGCAAGAGAAGGGACGAAAGGAGTTGCATCATCCCTCTCTTTTGGCCTTGATATAGTGGCCTCGATTTCCTCGCCAAACGCATGAATCTGTTGTAGATTCTTTAGATTGCAATCACTGGGCAGAGAAGCAGGTGTTGTTCGCCATTTCCTCTCAGTGCAATTTGAAAGGTGAGAGTAAGCTCACAACGCTAAGGACATAGGAGTTTCTTGTTTACACAGAAAGAACTGCTGTACCGCATTTGTTTTCATTTCATTTTGAGACAAATCCTCTGAGGAGAAATAGGCCTCTGAGATGATAAACGGGGAAGCTGGTCACCTAAAGCATTTCAAACTCGTTAGCGGTTAATCTTGCTCATTCAGGGATTACACATGGATATTGACAATGCGAATGGACCCACCGACCACGCAAATTCACGCTTCCACACGGAGTGGTTTTTGCGAAGCAACGAAGGAGCATTTCAAACGCACAGAATAGTGATTTCATTCATCTTCGATCTGGATCTGGATTGACACATTGGTGACCACATGGCGAAGATGATGCGCTCAAACTCTAGCACTAAGATCGACACATAGCAATCAGGCAATGTACATTGACATGCTCACATGTAATATACTGGGTATAAAATGAAAGATATAGAGATGTTATCGCTAATTTATGTGATATTAGTAGTTCTTTAACTTGATTATTGTGTTCTACATCAATTGCTTTTTATATTCACAAGGTTGTGTTGCAGTTGACAGTTTCTTACATAGTTGAAATCCTGATTTCAGCGGCAACAGGTTCATCTACTTAAGTGCGACGACATTATTTGGTTGATTTGGCTCTTGCCATATGAGGAACGGCGGGAGATCCACATGACGACTCCAAGAACGACAGAATATTCAGGCGGCGCAATCGCAGGCGTGGGCTGATGGTCCTCCACTGTGTAAAGGCATTAGTGAGAAATTTGGGGAAATGTTAAGTCGGATTCCACCATCGGTCATCTAAAAGGACAATGAGTCAAGCCATTTTTTTTACATCTCCCCCGCGTTCATCCTCCATTCGGGAAACCAATATTCGCGCTGTTGCCTATTTTCGAGATCCTGTGAACTTGCTAACGAAGATCCCCGGTATTACGGCGGTTTGTGGTGGATTTAGGGTTCAGTGGATGTTCTTCTTCTGATCAGGAGTTGGATTATCATTTCCAGGCATTTTCTAGGAGCATATCGACTGTGTGCTTGATCAACTTTGTTTCCAGGGGTTTATTTGTGTACTGCTTCAGACTTCTGTTATCGGCAATTGTATTTGTGTTTTTATTCTCTATCTTGGTGAGTTGAAACTCAGTGTCTATGTACCGTTTGTCAAGGTGCAGTGTATGTGTAATCTGGTCGTGGTCCGCATCTGTGCTCATGAGCTCAGGGGTATGAGTCGGCGTTGAGATTATTTTCTTAGATCTTCGTATTGGAGCGCTTCTTAGTTGCTACTTGATCGCGATTGGTAGCCGTGTGCACGTGTCTTTGGTTACTTGAGTGTCCGATGAGGTGCTAAACCAAAGTTGGATCTCGGAACATGAACATGTGATGTTAGAAATATTGGTTCTTCTTTTAGTCGGGGACAGTTATCTGTGACCGTTTTGAATAGCTGCTATGTAAAATCCACTATAGAACAGATCGCGAAGTGTGTCGTCTTGGATTTGGTTTTGCGAGATTCTTTTGGGTTCTAGAAGTCGTTTGATGTTTTGGTTTCTGCGATGAACTGCATCTCAGTGTGATTTGCTGCCGTGAGCTGCTTTCACGACAAGGTTAAAGTTGAAGCTTCTTCCTTAAGGCCTGCGCTGTCGCACTATATGGAATGATGCTACTTGTTAAAGCTCGGAGTACGAGGCCGTCACAACATGTGAGTTATGATGCGCTTCTGCTTGTAGTGATGCTCGCTCCTCTAAAATAAGACCGTACAGCTTTACAAAATACACCTTGAAAGCTGAAACTGGGAGGCAGCTATCGATACGGCGAAGAGAGGAAAAGAAACTAGTTAGAGATGAGATAGACTTCAGTTATAGAAATAATGTTCGGACTGTTGCGGTAGAGTGACGTGTCCGGGATAATGGATGCCCACGGCGCATGATTATCTCAAGATTCCTTTCATGTCTTAGGACAAACTGTGCATAGATATGCCTTATTCTGCATTCCGCGTGTAACACAGTTTGATTGCTCGTCATTTGTCGGATGTCGAATGGTTCGCGCCAGATCTCTGCAAATTCCTTCTATTCGCAGAGCACAAGGTGCGGGAATGCATTTGTTGGAACAATTTTTTTACAGGGATTCGCTTATCAAGTGGAGATAGGAACGTAGTTTACCTTAGAACCGAGACTACATCTGGAGCATGTCAAAAGTGGAACTAACCTTCTTCCGGTGTTCTCTGATTGTAAAGGTAGGACTATCGGCAATTGGCACCGGAAATGAGATGTAGCGATTGTCTCAATGGAGCAAATGTGTATACCGCTAATGAGTGTGAAGGAGTTGTGGAGGCGAAAGGTATGCAGCAACAAGCTATCTGTTGGTCAGCTGGATCTCTTGTTTACAACGAGATGCCCTGCTTTGTTGTAATTTGTTTGTTGTACTTAGTATCCGTCAATCGAAGTTGATATCAACTGCTCAGATATCATCACCAGATCAGTGTGTATACTCTGACCTCCCGGTGCTGGCTAATTTTTGCATGACTTGCAACCGCACAATAGTGACAAAATTAGGCTATAATTCATAAATTCTCGGGTTTTTAAAGGGCAGATCCAGGCTCGTATCCACATGTTAAGTGAAATATGAGTAGTCATGGAACCGAATGGCGCAACTGATCTTCTTGTTCGGAATCGAAACTACAACATCAAACCTGCGAGTCTGGTTATACATACACAAACTGTCGATGAAGAGATAGCGTTTCCTGCATTTGCGTTTCCAGTAAATGACGGAGCAGCTGCATTAGATGCATGGAAAGCTGTGACAACCGCTGGGCAAGGGCAATCTGTGCAAGTAAGCAATGGGATTGACACTTGGGGTTTCCTTCAAGAGGGGGAAGGGATAGGCGATGAGTCACCGAAGATAATGCCTTCCGCGTTTCACAAAAAAAATGTAGATCTGGTACCGGAGTCACGTCCGTCCTTTCCAAGCCAGGTCGCTGAGCCCTCGACAAAGCAATATTTGTCATCTTTGGCCACGTTCAAAGACTTGGATCTAACTCACGAGAATGGAAGGGTGGAAATCATAGAAAAGTCTGGTAGTGACGTGCCTTTAAGTCCGACGCGAAAGAATTTAATCGCTAATTCTAAGGTGGAGGTAAAGGACTCCACTGTTGCGCCTTCAACCCCGAAAGGGAAAGGGTCAAGCATCACCTTTAAGGTGACATCATTGCAGAAAATTGCAGCAAAATCACCGGACAAGGTGAAGCCGGACAATTCAAGTTTAACAGGGACGACATCAAGTGGTGGAAGGCCCAGTCTTATTAATTCCAGAAGAGGAGAAGAGCGTGGTCGTGCCCGCTCTCCTGCTCCAGATCAGCGAAGCCTCACGAGCCCAAGACGTGCAGTTCCTGAGCGTTCCAGATCACCTGTGCCATTCCGTAAGCAGGATCGAGGTACCACGGGCGTTAGCCGCTCCCTCTCTCCGGTCCCCACGAGTCCCAGAAGTACCACTCCAACAAGGCGTCCAAGTACTCCGCGCTCAATATCACCTGCGCCTCGTTCTCTGGAAAATTCTCGCCCTTCAAGGAACCAGTTCAATGGGAGCTCGGTAAACTCTGCTTCTATGCCAAGCTCACCAAGGTACACTACTCCTACTAGGGCAGCATCGTTGAAAGCTGTGAACTCGCCTCCATCTGTGAAACGTAGTGTGTCAAAAGAGCTGCAATACCCCATAGCCTCTGGGAACGCGACGTCTCAAAGAGATCCTTTGAAGAAAGATGCAAAGGACCAGCACACGAAGTCACTTGAGGAGAATCAACATATTCCGAAGGTCAGGACGTCTTCTGGTCTTACACAGCCCACAGGTTTCAAGTTTAGTACGGATGAGAGGTCGGAGAAGCGCCGGGATTATTACTCAAAGCTCGAGGAGAAGCTGAAGCTCAAGGAGGAAGAGAGGAAAAGTCTCGAAGCGAAAGCACAAGAAGACAATGAAGCACAGTTGAGGGAGCTGCGTAAAACCTTAGCTTATAAAGCGAATCCAGTGCCGAAATTTTACCAGGAATCTCTTCCTCCTCCAGTCAAGGTTAAGAAGTCGCCAACCACGAGGGCCAAATCCCCCAACTTCACTGCTCCTCGACGTAGAGATAGTACTGGTAGCGAATTATCGAACCATGGGGGATCGAGTCCTCTGCGGGGTCGCTTTATGCGAAGTCCATCCGTGGAAAGTGATTTGAGCAATCCTGCCAATGTTCTGGGCAAGGGCTCCGTAAGGGTAAAGCAGCCATTTAAACCAATCTAGCCAGGCCCTCTTTCTCGTCACCCAACCGATATATTCCTCTCATTCAAGTTACAAGCCATTGTTCTTCGAAGAAGCCTAGAGTGGAAGAGTCAAATCTTTCCACATGAGCTGTAGTCTGGTTCGTCTCATGCTAGGAAGTTGGACTACTTCCTTGTCTCAACCTTCCACCTAGGAAAGAAGTACTATGTCTCATTCATTTGTTTTTGCTTTTGATTTTGGAGCAAAGGCTACCTCTGTAGAACTACCGATCGTCATTGAGATCACCCGTTAAATCCCTCACAAGGCATCATTCTCTTCATCATCTTGGGCATCACTTTTCTAATGCCGACTTCTGGAATGTAGACTACAATTAGACTAGTTCTTTGATTGCGATAAAATATCATGAATTGTTGGGCGTGGCGCTTTGGACGAATTAGATGCATGCAAAAGTTTCCATCCAAAGACTGAAAAGCATGAAGAATGCAAAATTACTGCTGGTGTAAACCAGCGAAACAAAATATAATTCCACGCCTGTGCTTCCAATGACGCTCCGATCACTGGAGTCCAGAAGTGAAGGCTCGCGAGCGATCGGAATCTAACCCGCAGTTTCAACCAACACTTGCCGGCAAACATGCTTGAGAAAGTTTGACCGGTTCCTTTCCCAGTTATCAATACCGTAGTCCCAGTTATCTGTACGGGTATCAGTGGTCGACGGGCGTGAATGCGTGGGTCCGTTCCGACCATCACCCTCCTTAAGCCCTAAACCCTGAATTGGCAGTGTCTCTCAAATATAGGATCCTAAACCTCGTGGTAGTTGTTTTATGTTGTTCGCAGGCTGCGTCGCAGGCTGCGTCGCAGTGATGGCGCGGGTCATAGCCCGTCTCCTGGCTCGCGCACGCTGTTCAGTATCTGTCGCCCCCTGCCACCCTGACTCTGCCCTCGCATCCTCTCTCTGGTCGTCTGGCCCTCGCCATTCCATCCGCCCATGCTTCGACTCTACCCCTCATGGCCTTCTCAGGCGGCACCTTGCGGGCGTTGCGAACCCCGTCGAGGTGCGTGAGCAGTTATGGCGGGAGAATATGGAGAAGATCCGGAATATTGGAATTTCGGCGCACATTGATTCAGGGAAAACTACGCTGACGGAGCGGGTGCTTTTTTATACTGGGAGGATTCATGAAATTCATGAGGTGCGCGGAAAGGATGGAGTCGGCGCGAAGATGGATTCTATGGACCTGGAACGAGAGAAGGGAATTACCATTCAGTCCGCTGCTACGTACTGTACTTGGGGTGATAATCAGGTTTGGGCATTTTTTCTGCGCTGACATGAGCGACGGGCCACCGGAATCTAAGGTGTAATTAAGAGAGGGATTGTAAAGTTGATGAGAACAATAGATATCACAATCAGGCACATTGTCCTGCTCCAATTGGTGCATTCCGATCATTGAAAGTATCGCATAAGCATAAACTCTAATTTCTAGGGTTTTGCGAGACGTGCTGTATTTTTGCACTGAATTCTTGTTAGTGGAGTACATGGAGTCCTCTATGCAGCTTCTCAGCTGTGTGTCTATTCGCCTCAATGAATCCTATGTTCTGCCAGATGAGGTCTTAACTGTGGAAATCGCAAGGTCGTTTGAACTTAGTATCACGGCTTTCAGAAATTACTTCTATGCTTTCTCGCTGGATCCACGTTACTTTAATTTTTCTATGTTTTTCGCAATTTTGTCAGTAACCACAATCCACTGCCTGATGATTGTTCTGTATATCCTGGCGGGACAGATTAATATCATTGATACACCAGGCCATGTCGATTTTACTATTGAAGTTGAAAGGGCTCTTCGCGTGCTTGACGGAGCGGTACTCGTGCTTTGTAGTGTGGGAGGTGTGCAAAGTCAATCCATTACAGTTGATCGACAAATGAGGCGATACAACGTGCCCCGTGTTGCCTTCATCAACAAGTTGGATCGATCGGGAGCCGATCCCTGGAAAGTTATTGATCAGGTTACACGCATTAAATCATTGGATCATACCATCTCTTGCTTGTTCGCCGTTGAATCTAATGGTTTGAGGATGTAAGTTTGGTTATTCGAAATCAGTATTAAGAACGTCGGTAAAGCCGTCTTATTTCATACATCCAGCCTGCTCCCTGAGTTAGAGGGAAGCTCAAACGCCAAGAGAACACAAATTTTGAAGGACATGCGAATTTACTAACAATCTTTGAAGTCTCTAAAGGAAAAATAGACCACCACTAAACTCTAGATGGATTTTGGCATGTTTCGTGACATGACTGAGATTTTCAGATGACGCTAGGGATTGGATGTGACCCTGTTGACTCTGCTTTCGTAACGCAAATGGGTTCCTTATCAAATGGTTTTACAGGTGAGGAAAAAGCTCAAACACAATTGTGCAGCTGTTCAGTTCCCAATCGGATTGGAAGATCAAATCAAGGGCCTTGTCGATCTTGTTCACAATCAAGCGTTTTACTTTCAGGGAGCCCACGGGTAAGTCTTTTGCATGCGAATCCATTTCTTCTTGGTTGGTTTGGTTCCAGTATGTGTTGGGTTGCTTGTTATATGACCATCCCATTATACTTTCTACTATACTATGTTTTAGTTAAGCATCTACCAGGTGTTTGAGAAAATTTATCTGCCTGGGCCTTCAGTAGAACTTATTCCATGAGAATTGCAGAGAGAAGGTATTGAAAGGAGACATACCAAGTGAGATCGCAGCAGCAGTGGCTGAGAGAAGACGGGAGCTAATTGAGTCTGTTTCAGAGGTGGATGAGGAATTGGCGGATTTGTTTTTAAACGATGAACCAATCTTGCCTGAAATTCTTTCGGTAGGTATACTATTCCTGTGTTTCTACTCAATGCCTTAGACTTGGCAAATATTTTGGCTACTGCAGGACATTCAGTTGTAATCCTTGACTACATATGTATGTATGTTAATGCAAATATGAAATTTGTTTTTTTAATAGGAAAACTGATTGTTGTCATCCGGTTGGTCTGTGTCTGGTTAAATTTTGATAAATTCGAAAGGTATCATTGTTTGAAGTTTTCTGAATACTCAGAAGCACATTTGTGCCACTTGTAGGGCGCCGTGCGAAGGGCGACTCTCAACCTGCAATTTATACCTGTGTTTATGGGTAGCGCATTCAAAAATAAGGTAGTCTTTCTGCATATTCTTTTTGGTCTAGGATGCATTAAATTATGTCTTGTGAATAGTCACTGTTCCATGCTCAACTTGCTGATTTTGTTTCTGGTTAGTTAATGTCAACATGTAATGGAGTAGTAAGTATCTTTGGCTGATCCAATTGTTTCTCATGATCAGCAGGAATTGTATGTCCTTGTCCTACTTCATGTTGAACTCATGGTTCAAACTCTTTATGTTTTATTCTAAGTTTTTATAGTTGTTTGTATTGCAAAGCGAAGTCTTCATACGTTTTATAACTTGGTCCAACATTGACTATTCTTTCGTACAACAGGGAGTTCAGCTGCTATTAGATGGTGTTGTGGAATACTTACCCAATCCACTTGAGGTTTCTAATCACGCTCTTGATCAGCACAAAGGCGAAGAAAAGGTAAGCTTGAGCTTTCTTTTTGAAATTATTGCGTAATTTGATCGACTTCCTTAAATGTTGTTGGTGAAGTCACATATTTTAGCAACAACGTGATTATGTTATTCTGCGAGCCTTCTACCTGGGCTTAGTATTCGATCGAATTGCTTACTAGGGTGTATGGCAACAGCATGTTTGTATACTCATTTGTGTATATACACGCCGACCTGAGGCTTTTTCTCCATTTTTATCCCGCTGCATGTGTTCACTCTTGTTTATCTATGATTTCTTATTGTTTTATTTGCAAATTTGTTGTTAAGTTTCTCTTTCGATCTTGAGAAGTTTGGGTAACGCTAGTTGATGATGTGCTTTTCCGATTCCTTCTTGGGTTATTTGTTGTCTTTAATTTTTGCACTTACGTGTCTTTCCTTCTGTGGTTCTGTTATTGGACTTTTTGTTGTCATGGCAGGTAGAGCTGACTGGGTCTCCATCGGGGAAGCTAGTTGCACTTGCTTTCAAATTGGAGGAAGGTCGTTTTGGCCAGCTGACGTACTTGAGGTAAGCGGTACTCGAGGCACTTTTCATACTTCGAGACAATATCACACCTTCTAACCGACAATGACAGATGTTTTACCGTGTTTTTGTTTATCCTAACAGTACGATGGACCGCAGAATTGGTAGCTTTCCTTGCAATTCGGGGTTTACTACATACTACTTATATCGAGAATGGCATTTTGTGCATGCCTTTGTTCTATTTAATGCTCTATGAATGCTTGACATCCTGTGTAGTGATGGGAGCGGACCGATTGTGATGCATCTCGTGTCTATTATTGAGTCGTCGAATGAAGCAGCAATTGCTTATTTATCTTCGCAGGTTATACGAGGGTACAATGCGAAGAGGTGACTTTATCGTTAACTCTACTACAGGTCGCAAGGTTAAAGTCCCTAGGCTAGTGCGAATGCATGCCGATGATATGGAGGTTAGTTTTGGTCTTGTCTTTACGTTGGAATTATGGGTCGGAGTTAATCTGGTTTCGGACCTTTTAGCGTCTGGTTGCTGTTGTGCTACATTCTTATTCTATAATAATCATCTCAATGGTCTTTTTTTACTCCGTGGACTTGTGTTTCAGGATATTCAAGAAGCACACGCTGGAGAAATTGTTGCAGTCTTTGGTGTTGAATGTTCTTCTGGTGATACCTTTACAGATGGATCTGTAAAGTACACTATGACATCAATGAATGTTCCAGAGCCCGTGATGTCACTTGCCATTGCTCCTTCTTCTAAAGACGTTGGTCCTCAGGTTTGTTTATCCTTCCAATATTTTGGAGAGGAATAGCCTACTGCAAATATGATAAGATGCAGAAATTTTTATGCTTTGTTGTGAATGTTGGCACCTTAAACATTAAAGCTCCGAGTAGCCCTGGTGCGGTCTCTTAAAGCTTTGAACGGGAAACTACGAGTGTTGTTTGGAAGTTATATTTAGGATTCGGAATCCAAACTAAATACAAGAGTTGGAAGAAAAAAGAGAGTAGACTTGAGTCCCATCATTAATTTTTTAAAGGAAATTCATTGCATTTGAATAAATTTAGTGGTCACGATAGTAGATGGATTTGATTAATACCTTCGCTGATTGTTACTTTGGATGCGAAGCATGCTTAACATTTTTGTTTTATTTATTTTTATTTGTGTTGTCTGGATCTTTATTGCTGAATTTTTTCGCTTAATTCATATATAAATTTGATTGTGTGCTAGTAGTTTTCAAAGGCTCTGAATCGGTTTCAAAAGGAAGACCCAACATTCCGAGTCAGCTTAGATCCAGATAGCGGTCAGGTAAATCTCTCTTCTTTTTCTTTTTTCTTTTTAATTTTTTTACTATTCCGTTTTCATTCTGAGTCCTTTGTACCATGGTCTTGTGTTGTGTGAACTCGTACAAAAGGATCACTGTGCAGTTGGTTGATTTTACTTTAATTTTGTAGAAGTTGTGATAGAAGTTCAGCGGATCGATCTGAAGCGCAGGGACGGGGGTTGGGTTTTGTGCAGACCATTATTTCGGGAATGGGAGAGCTGCATCTAGATATCTATGTGGAACGCATTCGTCGTGAATACAAGGTTTTTCAATTATTCTAATGCCCTCTTTTTCTTGCATTTGCTGCCAACCAAATAGTAGTGAGGTGTTGTGTGACATTAATTTATACGATGTTTCAAGGGCAACTCAGATAGCTACTATTGTATTTTAGAAGCACTTAGGAGGTTTCTTTAGTGAACTGACTTAATGAGTGTTATTTACTCACTTCCATTACGAATTGGCTGTTTCGCGCAGGTCGATGCCGTAGTCGGAAAGCCACAAGTAAATTTTAGGGAGACCATCACACAACGAGCTGAATTTGATTATCTTCATCGAAAGCAAAGTGGAGGACAGGGTCAATACGGTCGTGTTGTAGGGTATCTGAAGAGAACTTATACTATCATTACTTCGATTTCTCTGTTTTGTGATAGATCGCATTGTTTGAAACGAAGGAAGTCTAGGAGTTTCATTTATTGACCTGTTTTTTTTCTTTTCTGTTTCTGCTGGATAGATACATCGAACCCTTGCCTGAAGGAAGTGAGAAAAAATTTGAGTTTGAGAATATGATGGTTGGACAAGCTGTTCCCTCTCAATTTATTGCGGCTATTGAAAAAGGCTTTATAGAAGCCAGCAACTCGTAAGTTCAGCCTTTCCTTTATACTTCAAGATGACATTTTGAGTATATATCACGTAAAAAGGAAATCCAGGGAGTAGGAGCAGTAGTTTTATGCTACCACATATGCATTGACCTTCTTTTTGGTGATATTTATCTGTTTTGAAATTGTGCAGAGGCGCGTTGATCGGTCATCCGGTGGAAAATTTGCGAGTGGTTTTGACTGACGGTGCCTCGCATGCTGTAGACTCTAGTGAACTTGCTTTCAAGCTGGCTGCTCTGTATGCGTTCCGTCAGGTGCAGTTGTAGATCCGCTGAGTTTTATACTTTTCATATATTTTGTGTGTGGAGTTCTGAAGTCACACCAACCTCTGCAGGACGTTTATCCAAAGCTCCCTTTTAAAATAACAACATGATAGTAACTCAGTGGAACACTTTTTAAAATCGTGATGAAGTTAACAGGATTTGTTGATCTGTGTGCTCCAGTGTTATGCGGCAGCAAGGCCTGTTATTTTGGAACCGGTAATGCTTGTGGAGCTTCGGGCTCCTGTAGAGTTTCAGGGTTCTATTATTGGGGATATCAACAGGTGTGGCATCTTTCATTGAGTGATCATGTACATGAAAGTCTGTACTGTGTGCTTATGTTTCACAACATTTTAGTGTTTTTTTGTTTCTGTTTTAAACTCATCTTGTTTAATCGTCTATTTCCACCCTGTGTGGCTCATTATCGACGTATGCTGATTTCATTTTTCCACATTGTAGATTTCAAAATCTTAAGATTGAAAATGTCTCGAGTGATGAGAAGGTAGCGGAAGTTAACCATGTTCAGTTTTAGGTTTGCATTTTAATGCATTGGAATCTGATTTTAGATGACTTGTCATCTGCTACCATTGTTATTGCAACAGGAGGAAAGGCATTATCGTAGGCAGCGACCAAGAGGGTGATGATGCAGTCGTTTTGGCTCATGTGAGTAACTGATCTAACTGTGGTTAGAAGCAATGTTTTGTAAGCAAATAATCTTTTGTTCAAGCTTGCATCTACCCTGGGCTATGGGCACCAAATTGGAGCTCGCCTAATGCAGTTATTGTCACCTTTTCAACAATTTGAATTGATCGCGTTTGACAAAAGAATATTGATGCTCTGGGTAAATTTCCTGTGTTCACTAAAAATTCTATTGGCTTCAACCCCGAAAGATTGGAACTTTGAATTGGCGACTTATTGGACACCTGTTAACTTGCTTTTGTAATTGGAGAGTTTGCACATCGTTTTTCTAATTGCTAGTTTCTCCTGTTCACTGCTGTGGATAGTCTTCTCTCTCTTGTCAATTAAGTTATATCTATTTTGATTTCAGTTTGAAGTCCACTAAAAGTTGAAGGTGTATGAAAACGTGTCGAATGCGACGTTGTCGCTGATTACTCTCGCTTTTATATTGGGCAGGTACCGTTGAACAACATGTTTGGCTATTCAACTGGTTTGCGCTCCATGACACAGGTCTGTCTCAACATTGATCTGTTTTCTGTAAGCTGAGAATGATGTTAGCTCTAGATCTCATTACTTACTCAGGATACATTATATCCTGAAAACAAGAAGTAATTGCTAATTATTGTGGGTGGTTTATCACTCAGGGTAAGGGAGAATTTACGATGGAATATTACCAGCATGCAGCTGTGCCACAAGATGCTCAAGCAGTACTTGTTAAGGAGTACACAAACAAAAGAGTCGTCTAGAAAAAAATTCCAAAGCTCACTGAGCTCTCCACTCATGAAAACTGTGTGGAGTAAATTTTTGGTAGGCACTTCTGCGATTACAGTGGTGCTCCCACTTGCTGATAATACCAATTTTCATCCAAGATCAAGTCAAAATGCAGTTTCCTGCCCTTTATTCGTTAAGATATTACGAACCCATACGTTTAGATTATTCAACCATAGGACATTCCCCTTTTCATCTTATAATAAGGGCGAGTACCAATAGTATAGAACTACCACATATTTTTAATTACTTATTACTGCAGGAAAATTCAATGTAATTATCAAACAGTGAGCTCATTTTCTGCTTAACCTTTTTGCAAAAGAATGTTGGCAACTATTCGCATTTGATTGTAGATTTACTACAGTTTTACATTCTCTTTAATGTACAGTGGGGTACAGAAATAATTCGAATTTTTTTTCAAAGTGAATCAGTGTTAGAAATCACTGAACTTCAAAAAGCTCCAGCAGTGTCAAAAATGAACGCATTTTTGAGCCGTAAAATGCATTGCGAAGATAGTAGAATCTAGTTTCATGGTGTAACAAGTTTGCATTATAAAGTTGTGAAAATATACATCAAGAGAGCTTTTTGTTACATACTATCTACCATCTCGTACTACCACCTCCAGCTGCAATCACCACTTGCATCCTATAAGGCATAGTTGAAATCAATGTATGAAGCCACTCTATAGATATGGTATCCCATACGGATTGAATTTTTTCTATCATTTCTAGCTTACTATTAGGTCTACTATGATGTTTGAGCAAATCTTTTACAACCATCCAAACGTTCTCTATTGGATTCAAGTCCGGTGAATTGGCAGGCCAAAACAACTTTTCTATACCATGAGCACGTCTCCATTGCAGTGGCAATGAGCTACAGTGGACTGGAGCGCCATCCTCCATCAATATCAATTGCTCAGGGTCATCATGTAAGAAATAAAAGCCACTTAATACTCCTTCATAAACAATAGTGACAAAATCCCTTGCTGATCTCTTATCTAAAGGAAGATGACCAATAGAGACTTATCAAAGCCATTAAAGGCACCCCAAACCATCACTGAACTACGTCCAGACTTAAAACTTGGTGCTATACAATCCCAATTATATTTTTCATATGCCTTCTGCCACACTCTAATTTGCCGTGGATTTTTGCCAGTTTCGAATGACGACTCATCCGTCCAAATAATATTACACCAATCTTCAAACGTCCAACTCTCATAAGCACGTGCAAATGCAAGCCTATCTGCTTTATGTTTGACATTCAAATAGGGCTTTTTAGGTGCTATACAATTTCTAAAACCAAGCTCACGGAGGTAGAATCGAACAGTAGTTCGGGAAACACTCACCAAGTTTGCAAGTTCTACTAGAGTATGCCTTCTATTTGAACTGACAGCATGACATAACACCCGAAAATCCCGCTCAGACAACTTCCTGGGTCTGCCACATTGTGATTTCAACGACTCCACACTTCCATGGACCTTCCAATGACTCAAGATAGTTGAAATGGTAGAACAGGCAGCACTGAAGACTTCTGCAATGTCCTTACACTTCATCCCAGCCTTCCTCATCCCCACAATCTGATTCTTCTGCATAGGGGACAATGTTCTGTACTTCATGGTGCTTGTTGTAAGCCTTCAAATAGCACAAACCAACTTCTAGTTTGAAGGAGAGGAGTCACTGAAGCTAACGATGTCCAAAACCAAAAAAGAACACTTCTAAAATCTGTATGTGCTTCACAATCTCAATCTGTGGCAGTGCAATGTGCTTCACATCTTCAGATGGATTATATAAGTCACCCCATCCAAGCATTCTATGCTATCACTCCATTTTGCTGGCTGCATGCATGCCTAATTGCAACTGTGATTTTTTAGCTCACCTAACCACTTCCACATTAATCATCACATTTGCAATCTGCTTTTGAAGACACATGGCTAATTACATGCAATTAGACACCTCTTGCACTCCAAAAATAGATGGCCAAGTGTAGGGGAAAAATTCCTTCCAACATGATCACAACATTCAATTGAACAACAAGATTTTTTTAGCAAAAGTGGTGCTCTAGAAAAAAATTCGAATTATTTCTGTACCCCACTGTACATTATGTTGTAAATATGTGTGTAGGTCTTATCATTTGTCATCTATTGTATGTATCCGTGTGTCAAAGGCCCGTCCACTAATTAAACAGGATGCTGCAGTTATAAGCGTAGCAAAGCCTCTCATCTGCTTCATGACATACAATTATACATATATACAATTATCTGAGTCGTATGAGATTTCATGAGATTCCATCTTCCTTTTATTTCATAATTTTCTGAGCAAAATGAAGATTATTAAAAGACCATTCCCAACTTGTGGTTAATCACAATAACACTTATCTCACATGTCTTTGGATGTAGCCAGAATTTCTTCTGGTGTTTCATTGTTGGCAGGTGTGAATTGTTACTCCTTGAAGTGAAGTTGTACCTTTTGAATGGGTCCTTACAGGTGTGTGAAAATTAACAAAAATATGATAAGATGCAAAAACTTTTATGTTATGTTGTGAATGTTGGCACCTTAAACATTAAAGCTCCGAGTAGCCCTGGTGCGGTCTCTTAAAGCTTTGAACGAGAAACTACGAGTTTTATAGAATTGTGGACTCAACACATTGACCAACAAAATTCCTTCTTTGCTATAACTCTGATTCTTGGGCATTTTGATCATCGAGATGAACTCCCATTGTTCATGGAAGTGAAGTGAGAAGATGAGAAGACATGGGAGCTGGAATTTGGGTTGGGATTGTATGTGAGGGTGAGATGTAGGGCTTCCGTCTCTAGAGCATGGTCAAGCCTGTTGGCAATACCATTATTCAGGTGGGCACTTGTGGAGTGCGCTGTGAGCACTACTTGGAGTTAGTCATAGATGCGAACAGATTACGGCCCAATGTCAATGCTGGAATGCTTACGGGAAAACAATACCAAATTTGCTTAGCGAACCTTTGTGGCCACAGCAAGCGGGTCCGGCGGCAATCGCTTCGGCTGGTCTAGGCTCAAGACAATTTTCGTGGTGTAGTTGGTTATCACATCAGTCTAACACACTAAAGGTCTCCAGTTTGAACCTGGGCAGAAACACGTGCGGGGATAGCTCAGTTGGGAGAGTGTCAGACTGAAGATCTAACGGTCGTTTGTTTGATCCAAGCTCACCGCACACTCACCTTTTCTCCATCACGTCTATGAGCCTTCTTCCTTGCATCTCGCACATCTCTGCTTGCTGCGGCCACAAAACCACTGCAGCCCAGCACTGCAAAGGCTCTACCTTCCCTTGCCCTCGTAGCCTGCTTCAGGTTCATACACCATGACTGAGTTGTTTCTTGTTCCAACACAGAAGAATACCAAAACTAACTATCCCTGTTCGTCAGTCACCGCTACATTTTCCTCAACACTTTCAAGAACCATCCAGTTATAACTCCATGTAGGAAAGCATGTTCTCCCACTCACAACCAATCCACACTTTGTGGCCCCTTCTCACCTTCCACTCTCCACATGTGCGGTACCTCCAAGTTGCTTCTATTCATGTTTTAAGTTTTTAATTTTTATTCATTTTATATCAAAGTAAATAAATAAGTACACAAAGAACTTATGTTTTCATTTTTCTTTTCTTTTCAAGTATTTTGTGAAAGTACACATATGTGATAACTCAATTACCAAATATCATTGATTTAGCCATTTTTTTTTTATTTAGTCTATTTAAGTATGTTCCTAAATCTTTTTATTCATGACATTAAATATAATTCTTTTAACTTTTATGATAGTTCTAAGTTTGAATTCAAGAATACTATATTCTAATTTAAAAAATAATTAGCTATTAGAGAAGATGAAGCACAATTACAATTTCTTCAAACATGTCATAACTTTCTAATTGTATGATATTTTGAATACAACAAGACCTTAGATTTAATTTTAAGTGATTTTTGGTGGCCTCAATTGTAGAAGCCTATTAAAAACGTTGTGCAATCATGTGATATTTGATCAAGATTAAAAACTCCTTGTCATCATTCTTATAAACTTTTCCAACTACTATCTATATTAAAACAACCATGGTCTTCAATTTGTATAGATTTTATAACTGATCTTCAAACATCAAGTTTTTAAGACTCTATATTTATGATATTAGATTGATTCAATAAGATGATATATTTGTACTATTTACAAAATCTACCATAGATAAAAGAACAACCAAATTCTTTATAAGGCTTATATATTTAGTTCTTGATAATAATACAATAGATAAGTTGTCCATAGCCATAATCATGGACTTTGGTAAAAGAACTTCTTTATTAAGTGGCACTATAATTTAATAAAAATCTTAATCTTAAAAAATAAGATCAATGAAACGGAACTAGATTATCTCTTAGATCTAAGATCCTTCCAATCTATAGTAATATAAATCTTGTCACAACGTAAGACAGTATAGACTATAATAAAACTAAACATAACTAAATAAAATTGAACATAAAAGGAAAAACAAAGCAAAAGAGAATAAAACAAAATTAAATAGAAAAGTACAAAATCAAACTTTACTTAGAGAAAGGAACCAAAACCATACTTGATGAGATTTCTAAATGGCCTTGACTAGTCATATTTATACTTAATCCAATCAACTTGAAACATTCTAAAATGTTCCTAATGGTGGATTCTACTTAAATAACTACCTTAAGCCCTTTCTAAAATGTTCTACAATAAGTCCTACATATACCACCAATCTAGCTTTAATTATAGAAACTTCTAAAAACTTCCTAAATATGGCTCTTATTATCTATTTCTATGCGTCAATAATATAAATATCTTATCTATACTCTATTACAATTAATCTCCCTCTACTAATGTAAAATGTACTCATTTTACTTCCAATGATATCTCCAAATTATTTCTTAATTATAAGTGAGATTGTGCAGGTTTCTATATTGTATCATGGATGGAATAACCATTTTAGAAGAATTTGCACTAAAGTTGTGGATGTCCATTGCTATGGTGAAGGTAGCAATGCTCTAAAATGTTCTCCACTTCATACTCTTGTTGGTTATCAATCACAACTGGTAGTAGTGGTGGTGGTTGTTATTGGTCAAAAAAGTGTCTTAGCTTCGTATGAAATTCCTTGAGTTACAATACATGGAAGATCAAATGGACCCAAATATGTGGGAGAAGCTTGAAGTAGTATTCAACATCAAAAATCACAATAGAAATGGAGAAAGGTCCAAGCCATCGAGGTGCCAATTAACGAATTTGAGTTGATGTAGCAAGTGGAAAGTTGGCATTGAAAAATAACACCTCATCACTTTCTCGGAAGGTCTTATGTTGCCAATGATTATCCGCATACTGCTTCT